TAATCTTATTACATGTTGCAAGGTGTATTGCCTTGCCATACCGGCCGACATACACCTTTATTGTTCCGATCTTTCTAGTGCGATATTTGGTGGCAGTTCAAAGCTACATTGATAAAAAACACCTGCTTCGCAGAGAGTTACCTATACCTTGTAGTAAAGTGTCTGGCTGATGTAATGTCACTTGGAACGATCCAGTCTCAAAGCTTGAAATCCTATAGCAAGCATGTTCTCTTACTTCTTGTAGCTCATTTCATCTGGTAGACTTGGAAAAGGAATTCAAACATTCACTCGAAAATCTGTTGAAACGATGTTCCAAAGTTTGCCCCTGTAATGCATCAATGGCGTCGCGAGCTTTACTCTTACTGGCAAAAGCTTTGCTGAGACTAAGCAAAGATGACGACACCGTGTCTCTAACGTCCCGCAGAAATTAAGCGATAAATGTTAACTCAATACATTTGAGACCGCCAGAAAAAAAGTCACGAGCTATTCCAGTCTATGAAGGTTGATGACCAGCGAAGCTGTTTAGCACACGCAGAATTTTGAACAAAGATACGAACACACTTTTTGTCTTAATCGGTGATCATCGATGAGGTGCAAGTGGTCACCGACAACGCTTGCAGCGCACCAGTCCGCTTTGCAGGATCCCACACATTGCCGATGTTGGTCAAGTCGTTGTCGAACCACAGCCGATCACAAACCCCAGAACTACCCCTTAACTGTCTGTCCAGAGAGTCTTTTTTTGAATTTAGTGTATGTTCCATTAAAGTTCAATTTACCAGCATGGCACCTGCGTCTTTGTGATGCGTTCTCCGCCCCGCAACGTTCGTTGTCTTGCCTGCTTTGCCGCATGTGTTTCGGGTTTTGTGTGCGATCTTCATCGGTGGTGTTTGCAGCCCGCCGCCGTCGCTGACATTCTCGTTGCCGTTCCCGTCGTTGCTCTTCGTAGCTGCGTTGCTCTTCGGGAGCCGGGACTATACGCAGCCTCCCAATTACGACGAGAGAAGGGAAGTGAAATTGAAAATGGATAACGGCAACTTGTCTTTCTAGTTTTTTATATACATCCGCGTGGACGACTATCGCCGCCCCGAGGAGCCCGAGGAAACTAGACACGCGCGATGGGACCGCCATCCAGCGGAAAGTATTGTAGACACGCGCGACGGGACCACTAGTGCCACTAAATAAGCTACGCTTCAGAGTAGCGTCACTTGGCCATATTGTGTCTTAAAATCATGGTTGCCAGTTATCTGAAGCTTTATCTGAAATCACAGGAAGCGCTTTTCCGCCCTCGACAAATGTTCAAACAGTTCGCGGCAGAGCAAAGCAATGTTACATAACCTTTCTAACACCGAACCGAATGCCGAGGAAGTCGCACTTTTGAATCATGACGATCGGCAGTTGCGTCTGCTCTGCATACGAGCCAAAATGGCGGTGCCCACAAGAATGTCGGGGAACGGAGTGCCGATACTCTAAGCGTAGCTCATTTAGTGGCTCTAGGGACCACCACCCCGGGAGAGCGGAAGGAAACTAGGCACGCAAGCGCTTGGAACGACGACTAAAAGAGGTCGGAACAAGCTTTTGCTGATGCACACGAAAAATCAGCGGAGCCCATAGCCCATAAACAGCTTCGCTGTAAAAACAAACGCGAACGTGACTCGAAAACAGCTTAACATCCCGGCGCCCGCGAAACGGCAATTCCTAACAGTAGACAACTCTGAAAACCGCTAAATTCAGTGGGAAGAACCGCGAAATTGGCAACACTGGCTTAAAGTGTTAAAACTTGCATTGTTTGAGCGTCGACTCGTGCCTCTTGTTGTTGGAAATATGTTTGCTGTTTGTTTCCATGATCTGTGAAGGAGCCTCATCAAACTTTGTGCCTTCCTCTTTTCTGGATTCAACGCAAAACAAAGATAAGTATTATTATTCATTAAAATGGAGATCGCCAGGATTTCTAATTAATTCGTTCCGGTGGAGATCGGACAGCTAAGGCAGAGACAACAGCATAGAGAAGCCTCGCGTTTCCAGAGAGCTTCATCCAAGAAAAGGCTCTTTGTTATCAGAGCTAATTAGCTTGGAAACCGGGTCATGTTCTCCCGCGCCATGTAGTGAGCGATTGGGTGGTCAGCATGTCGGATACACGTTGATTAGTCGTTCCGCGTATTGAGCGCGGACCTCCCGTTTGCCTTTGTTTTCGTGCGGTTGGAGATTTTCATCGTGCGGACAAAAATACGCGCTTTTGTTGGTGCTGAACGCGGCTGCGAAGGGACCGTTTATGCGCGATAGTGGTTTCATTAGTCAATCGCGGAAATGCCTGAGGGAGGCAAACAATATAGGATGAGTGATTGCCTCGTCTCGAGTCTTGTTTGAGGCGCATGAAGCGAGGCAGGACCGAGCTTGTTCTGCACACACTGCGCAAAGTCTGCTCTATAGGCGCCCTGTCTCCTCTACAGATACTGCGTCCTCGTACTATAACGGCCTAAGCTATATAAACAGTATTTTTGTTTGTTTTGAAGTTAATCCAGAATATGTTCTAAAGATAATTCGGGTTAAGGTTTTTTTTTTTTTTCTTGCGTTGGGACTGAGTTTAAAAAAAAAAAGGCGAAATGCTTCAATTAGCTCATAAATTAGCTTATTTGATGAACTTTTTTTTAAAATTTCGAAATGTATATATAGAGAACGGGCGCTCGACCTCAATACTGTCTACCGGTGCGGGGAAATCGGGAGTGCGAGATTTGTCTCCTGGGCGTTACAAACATCTTTTAGAGACTAAAGCCTTGCGCTTCGTTATGTTACGTTAGTTACGTCACTGCTCCTAGGCCAAGCGAAGAGAGCCAGCAGAGGGATTTTACCGCCGAACATCTACTGCGCCGCTCACGAAGTACTCCGCATCGCCCTGAAAAACACCTTTTCGTTTTTTAATGCTTCGTCATCTTCGTTGCGTTCGGTCTTAGAGCGAAAGATGGAATTGTGTTATAGACTGTACCATAGCCTCCTATATATACTAACAAAGCCTGGCAGATCGCCACAAGAAGCGGCCGCTGAAATGGAAAAGGTGGAGCGGCAGACAACGGATGAGAGGAGAGCCACGTGAGTGGCGCCCCGCTGCGGCGAGACGCCGAAACACGCTTCTCCCGAGCGAACAAGCGTGTTTTTTCGGGTCCTCGCCGCTGCAAAAGCTGCGCGCTGACGTCCAGATTTCCCGAGAATTGGCTCTTTGATGCGCTGTGCTACCAGATCTTCGCGCTCCATATCTGCGACCGGGCTTTCTATGGCTTAGTAGTCGAACTGCCAGGCTTTGTGAGTTTAGAGGTGAGTGTGATTTGATTGGTAATTACTCGCGTCGTGTTTTTTTCGGGATGTAGGACTCCTTGACAATGCTCCTCAAGAACTACGCACGGAACTCAGGAAAGATTAAGATGGGATCCACGGGACGGGAAGACGCTTCCCTAAAAGGGGAGCGCCTAGCGATACTCACTGCATGATCTTATTAGGTATTGCAAGTTGTATTGCCTTGCCATACCGGCCAACGTTCACCTTTATCGTTCGGATCTTTCTAGTGCGATATTCGGTGGCAGTGCAAAGCTACGTTTATCAAAATCACATGCTTCGCGGAGAGTTACCTATATCTTGTAGTAGAGGTGTCTGGCTCATGTAACGTCACTTGGAACGATCCAGTGTCAAAGTTTAAAATCCTATAGCAAGCATGTTCTCTTACTTCTCTTAGCTCATTTCACCTGGCAGACCTGGAAAAGGAATTCAGACATTCACTCGAAAATCAGTTGAAACGATGTTCCAAAGTTTGCCCCTGTAATGCATCAATGGCGTCGCGAGCTTTACTCTCACTGGCAAAAGCTTTGCTGAGACTAAGCAAAGATGACGACACCGTGAATTATTTTTCGTACATTTTAAATACAAAAGTAGCCGTTCAACCTGTGGTGGGAGCTCGAGAGCGTAGTTTTATTTTTATTTCCTCTTTCAAGAAACCACATGGAAGCCGCTAGGCGTGAAACACTATTTCACACATTTTCTAGTTATGTGGTAAGCACTGACGTGAAAAATATGTTTGAAGGTAAAATATTTGTGCTTGCAGAGGAGCGCTTTGGTTTTACAAAGAAGAATGAGTTAAATAACCGTGGAAAGGGCGTAGTCCCCAATAGTTTTGACGAGCGTTTTTAGTTTCAAATGATTAATCTAATAATAATCTAATAAATGAACTGCAGAAGTTAGAGTTGTTATACAATTACTAATCTTAAAAGAGTAATTCGATCAACTAAGTCGTCGTCACGCACGGGCAAGTGGCATTTCGTACGATATTTCCAATCAATGCTAAAGGCCGCCCGCGTCAGCGCGTCGCACAGCGAAGCCCAGCGCCCATCGGAATGTCGCTTTCCCGCTCGCTGCAGTGACGTCACACAGCGGGCGCGCAGGCCTTAGTTTCTAAGAGGCTTCGCTTTGGAGCCGTGTACGGGGCTGACATTTAGCGCCCCGTAGCGTACACCAGGAATTTTTTTGATCGAGCTAAATAGGTCATGAAGCAGAATAATTTACGTTAACTAGAGTCTTTTAGTTAATGCGCGAACTAATGAACTAATGCAGTCGCTTCTCTAGTGACCGCCGTGACCACCAACTTGGCCCCAGTGCTAAAGAAAAACCCCAAGCGAGTTTTCTTTCTTAATTTCTGGACCGACAAAACAAAACAACGACCACAACGTATATGTGCCCCTAGGTTCTGACGTAAATAACTGTTTTCATTTTATAACAAAGACCCATAAACTCGTCTGTGCACACCCACGTGAAGTCACGTTGTCACGTGACAACAAGACTCAACACCCACGCGCGATAAGAATTTAAACATAATAATAGCTTCACTTCTTTTTTTTTTTAATCTGCGTTATATTATTTTTGGCGTTTGTCCGGTTTGGCACTCCAGTGATGGCAGCCGTCACACAACGTCAGCATTCGGCTAGAGTCCTCGACCGATCAAACACGAGTGCCAGCCGGACATGTTGAAGATCCGAGTTTTCTCCTTCCGCGGTTCGTTTTTCGCGGGTACATTTGGCGGGAAAACCCCGAGTCGATCCTTTTCCCGGAAAAAATCCTAGCGGAAAGCGTTTAGCCGTTATCTATAGCGCAAACATGAAATTTTCGGGTTACAATTTAGAGGGGATTTAGTTACACCGTATAGCTCTTATTTTCCGGCCAATTGTTTTTGTGAAAGCAACGGTTCTCAAAAAAATTCTGTGTTGATCCACTATCGTGGCAAATGGCGACAACGAATGTGATGGAGCCGGATTCGATCGCAGCGCCGCCGTTTTCCGCGCCACTCCGGCTCCACAATCTCGGAAACGAAGAAGTTGAGTGACGGCGCTATCCAGAAAGCGCAAAGAAATGAGCGCCGCTTTATGTTTGATCACGTGACTCGCGTGACGAACTCCTCGATCAGGAGGCCCAGCTGGGACCAGTGTCCAAATGGGGAGGAAGATTCCTCTGGGCTGCGATTTGACGGGCTGAACGCACCGCTCGTTTTTGTTTTTTTCGCGACTTGTTTTCGAAGGTTCTGAATGTCGAGTTGTACGCGGTATTTTAGTGAAAGTGCGCGAGTCGGTTGCACCGGCACCACCGGGAAAGTTATAGCCTTTGATGATGGAGACCCTTCCCCCCTCCCGACCCAGGGTCCGGCGACGAGGACCATGAGGCACGTCCGGGCTCGTCGTCGGATGGACTCCGACCGGCGTCGTCTCCGCCGACGCTCGTGCCGACGTCGCCGAGGCGTCGGGCGGGCGCCGCCACCCGGCGCCTGGCCAGCGCCGTGTCCACCACCTTCCGCAAGCTGGGACACAAGCTGGGACACCACCGACATCAGCAGAGGGCGCCCCGCAGGTCTCCGCCGGCCTCGGCAGAGTTGGGACCGCGCCGGAACCTCTTCCACTTTCCCGGTGAGAGATAACGGCTTTAATTATCGCCGTTATTTCGAAAGATAATAATTTATCATGGTGTGGACGTTAAACAACCGAGTTTTATAGTGTACGAATTGCTAGCTGCGCGGGCAACGAATTCTAGTTCAACAAAGCGCCTGGTTTGCGAGTTTTCGCTGAGCGCATCCTAGAAGCTCGGAGCACGACTGCTTTGTTCCAGAAGCGAACTTCTTTCTTTTCAAAATGGTTCCTTAGTCGAAGCCGCTGAACGCAGGCTTGCTCGAGATCCAACACGGGGCCGGGCTCCTTTCACCGAATACGAGCAGCGTTCCCGAATAAAGCCTGAAAGATGGCCAACGCCACCTGTATTCGATGAATCATATTACTCGAAAACTCGTGTACGTCATGAATGAAAAAAGTCAAATCAATTATTCGGACAATAAGTATTCGATTCGAATACTTATTGTATTCGAATCGAATACTTATTGTATTCGAATCGAATACTTATTGTATTCGAATCGAATACAATAAGTATTCGATTGGCTTTTACGCCAGTTTTTTTTAGTATATAAATGCTTCTGTTTTTGGTAAAATGGCAATTATTTTTGTGCGTGTCGTCCCATCCGCCCTTGTCTTTAAACCTGTCCGTGACATTCCATCTCTTCAGAAAGGCCCCTGAGCGAAATTTCCCCTCAAGTCGGACGAAGAAATCCGACCCGGTCCTATTAATTATTCTAGATTTTTTTTTGCTAAACGTTTCACTTAAGTAGGAGAAACCATGATTCTCATACTTGGTGGCTTGCATGTAGCTGTGTGTCAGATAATTGTAAATACTTGGTGAGTTCAGTTTCAGGTACTTGAAAATTTTAAACAATACATGTAGAAAAAAGAATCGCTTGCTGTAAGTTTAATTGGAGCAGATTGGCACTGGGAGTGGAACGAGGGGCTGAAACGTAAGTCAAAATCAAAATCAGTTTTATTCAGGCAGCCGAAAGGTAGTAAAGCTGTTTGAGGAAGAGGGGGGAGGGAGGGGGAGGAAAAGAGGGGGGGGGGGGCGTCACGAAAGGCATATGCTTGCCCGTCGAGGCGACAGCCCCCCTTCCCGTTCACATAATTCGGTAAGCCCACTTAAAGAGAATGTTCACGAGGGAAAAGAAAACCACGTGATCGGGACAAGCCAAAAATGTACATTAAAAAAAAAACGGAAACAAAGCGAAGAGAACTAGCGTTCCACATGTAATCTCGGATCTACATGAAAACAACACAACAAACTTGCTCTAGAAATAACATGGGGAATGTTAATTTACCTGGAAGACATGCGGAACCATGCATAGTGAGACTCGTGTCAGGACGCGCCATGCGTCCGCGACTCCGCAAGGTGTGTCAGCTCCTCTTGCTTTGCGCGAGTTGAGGCGAAACACAGAAGATGCTCTGTGACGCCGAAGCTATAGGGAAGGTGCAAACTTGAGGTGCGCTAAAGCAGCTCCCCAAAGCTTCGAGTGTGCGCTCCTGTAGCTCAATACGGGTAGCGCAGATGCCTTTAGGGAGATCTTTCTTTTTTTTTTTCTTGGGCGGTGCATGATGACGAGGGAAGCTTGTACGCGCGAATTTCAACTATATATTGTAATGGCGGCCAGACGCTGGCAAGAATGTCCGAAGAAGCGTGCGCAGAATGCCGTGAGGGAAAGGAGACAAACACCAGAGAAAAATTTAACTCCCATACTGTCGAGCCCGGTTATAACAAAAATAGCGGATATAGCGAAGTGATTTCCGATTCGGATGCGGATAAAAATGAATCAGATTTGGCGGATGGTGGATTGGATGCGGATATCCGCGGGTCCGGATCCACATTTTTGCCGAGGGGGCCCACAAACACGTGTGCGAATGCAGAGTATGGAGCGAATGAATGAGCGATATACTATGAAGTACACCATCGAATGTTTCGCGCGAGCGAATAGTTCTCTTAGAGAAAAAGCGCCAAAGGGAGAGAAAATTGTTCTTTAGAAAGACTTGGTTCTCACCAAAGATCGCTTCAGAGAGTTCTATCTCGCCAAAAATAACGTCCATAGAAAAACAATAAAAAAATACAGGGGGCGTCAATGGTCCTGGAAAAGCGTTTTTTTTTTTTTTTTTTTTTTTTGGCAAGGAAAGAAAGGAAAACGTTATTTGGGGAAAGAAAATCAAAAACGTACAAGCCACAATAAGGTAGAAGCCTCCCCGAAAAATATAAAACGTGACATGTGTGTGCTTTTTTGTTTTTCGACAGTTGGGTAGTTGATGACGAGTATGTGGTTCGAAGCACGCAATTCGGGGTCGTGTTTACAACTGGAACCGATAGGGAGGTGTTGCCATTATCAAATATTCCGTTATTATCCCAGCAAAATACTCGCGTCTTACCATGTATGTACATGCGAAGCTTTGCGGGGGTGAGTGACCACCATTTCACTCCCACATTTTATTTCTTGACCGGAATAAATTGACACTGCGTAATGAGTCTGTCCTTAATTTTTATGTTTACGAGATACGCGTCTGCTTGAAATGTGTGCTAAAAATATATGACCTTTTTTGTTTTTTTTTATTTGAGCGCATCTTTTGTCATAGCCTCCTCTATATCGAGGAGGATATATACACAGAGGCTGAACGGCGCAAAGTAGCGCAAACTGTCAAAAACGGGCCTCACACTCTCTCAAGAAGAAAAATAAAATAAAGGGTGTCGTTTTACACCCTCTTGTCCCCTAGATTGCACCCCGAAAATTCAGTTCGTCGTATACAGCGCACTTACGTAGAGCAGACGGCCCCAACTTTTACGTGGAGCTTGATGACGGCGTACGTATCCAAGACTACAGAAAGAAAACACTGAGGTTTTTCAGTTGGGCCAAGAAAAGCCCGATTATTTTGTTTTGTAATCAGTAACACGTATACAGGGTGTCACAAATGAAAATTTACACGGTCTTTTTTACCGCAAAAATAAACTAGCATCCCCGAACGCTCATTTTCCGCCCAAAGGTAGAGTTAGAGGTCACAACCAGATGCCAAAGTTTCAGCCTGATTCGATAACTTAATCAAAAGTTATAAATGATTTTCTGAAAATTTCAATTGGAAAATGGAGCCCATTTTTGCCCGTTTTCGGTTTCTGGTGCCATAGAGCCCCATGTGTTTGAAAACTCCGTCGGCCGCCATTTTCCCATTGAAATTTTCAGAAAATCATTTATAACTTTTAATTAAGTTATCGGATCGGGTTGAAACTTTGGCATCTGGTTGTGACCTCTAGCTCTACCTTTGGGCGGAAAATGGGCGTTCGGCGATGCCTAGTTTCTTTTTGCGGTAAAAAAGACTGTAAATTTTCTTTTGTGACACCCTGTACATTAGCAATTTTAATGAGCTGTTCCATGTCGAACGGAAGTTTTGGGGTGTCTTATATGCAACAACGAGTCTACGAATGCACCTTTTTTTTCCCCCCTTTTTTTCTGGGAGTGCATTTTGTTCGTCTTTTCTAACTTTCGAATAAGATAAAGGTTAGTTGTGCCACCTCGGCAGCTAATCCGGATCGCTCCACTCGGGCTTTTCTTGGTCGGCGATACGTAACTCATGGATGAGGGGGACTGAGGTTGTTCTTTCAATCCGTGCCGCCATGTTTTGTCTGGTGCGAGGAGACGCGGCCGGGAGGGAGAGGACTCAGTGTTTGTTCCTCCCGGCGGTCGCAGGTCGGCTGAGCGTGAGCCACCCGAACGTGTCGTGCTCGGACCTGGCCGCCCTGGCCAGGGACTCGGCGGCCTCGTGCCCGCTCCCGAGGGGCCAGCGGAAGGACGTGGCGGCCGCGGGCGGCGCCTCCTACTCGGACCCGACCATGCTGCGCAGTCGGCGCAGAATGCGGGTGCGCCGTCTTCGCCATGCCGTCCCCTTTCTCCCGCGCACGGGACGTGTCTCCGACCGTTCACACACCGTCCCCCCCGCTCCCCTGCATGGGACGTGTCTCCGACCGCTTAAAGGCCGACGACCGGACCCGAGATTCTGCAAGGCAGAAGATCCTCCTCTCCATGGGGGAGGAGGAAAGAGGCAACGGTGGACAGGGTAGAAGGGGGGAGAGGAGGAAGCGAGGGAAAAGTGGAAAGCGCGAACTGGTCGTCGGTCTTTAAAGATCGACGACCAGTTCGCGCTTTCCACTTTTCCCTCGCTTCCTCCTCTCCCCCTTCTACCCTGTCCACCATTGCCTCTTTCCTCCTCCCCCATGGAGAGGAGGATCTTCTGCCCCGCAGAATCTCGAGTCTGGTCGTCGGCCCTTAAGGCCCGTTCACACGCTTGCGACCGAGTAGGGCCGACTGAGACAAGACCGGTTTTTAAAAGCCTGTTGCGATGGCCTAGGATCGGATACGTTGCTGCGGAGCAGGTCTTAAGCCGTCGCAAGAGGCTTAATAACCGGTCTTGTCTCAGACGGTCCTACTCGGGTGCAAGTGTGGGGACAGGCCTTTACGCGAGTGGCCCACGAGCGGAGGGTGCGGCACAGAAACCGCCCTTGTTTTTCCTCCGCCATCGTGGCGGCCATCGCAGGAACATGGCCGGCCAGTAATTGTGACGTCATCGAATGGACATTAAGGAGGGAATGGTCGCGATAAGGGGACCAGTCGGAGACACGTTCTGGGTTCGAAGTCTTCACACTGCTAACGCGGGGTTTACACCCGTAATCGTGTTTTTGAGGGTATGTAACGCCCCCCTCCTACACCTCGAGGAAAGGACATTTAGAAAGTGGAAAGTATATACCCGTGTCTGCGGGCGTTTCTGCCTTCTATATCGCGCTCGTCTACGAGTTGGACTGTAAGGGGCAATTTGACCCGCAGAAATTTCTGGAACAAAAGGCCCCCCAGGAAGCTTTCGTAAACCTCCCGGGAGGCTCTCTGAAACGCGAAATCGGTTTATGGAGTTGGACTTGGTGCGAAGCGCGTTACGCTCGAGTGCAACGAGAAGCCTTTACGCGCGGGCCGAGGCAACGTGAAGCATACATTCCCTATATATACCGCGTAGGAATACAACACATATAGAAGCGTACTTAGTCACAATGAATCGAACCTGGTCGTAACGCTAGGTTTCCCAGGGGCTCGGCGTGCGTTTGTTGGGCGCCACTAGGAGGAGGCGATCGGAAGCGTCTGGACTATAGCTGTGACTCGAGGGAACCTGCGGTGGTAGGGGACTGTCGGTGCGCGGCTTTCCGAACGACTCTTCACGTAATCTCGCGACGTCCTTTACATAAACTCGTCTCGACTACTCTGCCAGGGAAAGTAGCCGAGAGTCCCAATTGTTCTGTAACCGAGGAAATCGTGACTCGGCGCACGTACGACACGTTCCATCTTCCCCGAGTTTATCGATATGAATCGAGATGACAGTCGATCGGACAGTTGTCGAATAGTGCACTCGCTCGCTCGCTCTCCGGACCGCAGGTGGAGTCAACGGAAGACGAGACGTCGTCGATGACGCCTCCGCTCGCGTCTTCGACGCCCCCGTCGTCCCGATTGGCCGGAGTGGACAGCACCGACCTCAGCGACGTCTTCGGACTGCGGAGCCGCCGTGCGGCCGCCGGGGCCCCGGACTCCGCGACGGCCGGCGTGGTCCTCTACAAGCTCCAAGTCCACCTCCGCTGCGGAAAGAACCTCGTGGCCAAAGACGCCTGCGGTAAGTCGACTCAGAGCCATTTGCTGAGGGAGTAATTGGACCCTAGACGGTTGTGGGCGAAGTTGCCTAGCTCGCTGCACGACGACCCACGACACCGTGCCAGGGTTTTCAAAAACAAGCAACTACATTTAATGGTAGATGGACGATTAGTGTAATAGTTTTGATTAATCGAACAGAAACCCGAGTGGGCCCAGAAGGCCTCCTGGGCTTTTGTTCCTCTTGTCCCCGGGGTCCTAAGCAACGCGCCCGTCGCTCCAGCGTTCCGCCGGTTGGGCTTACCAGACGCGCAGTCTGGTGGCGACTTACGGCGATGATGATGATGATGATGATACTGCGGCTGCTCCCTTTATAACGGGCGGGCTCAAATAATCGTGGCCAAGCCTGGGGGTGAATTCAGCGCCCCCTGTGTTGTGTATGATGCCACCAATCCTCCACTCGTCTTTTCGTCTGCTCGATGGTCTTCCAAAAGGCTTCAGTAGACGGCGGCAACTGGATAGGGGCGCCCCCTAGGTGCCACTATCTAGTCGAAAACGCCCGGTGGCGATTATGGCTGTATTGCGTGACATTTCAACGGCTTCTGCGGCCGTTTGCGATGTCCTCCCAACCTGCTAACATTGCTGGGTGTGTTTCCCTTCGTAGCTGTTCGAAAGTTGGCCACCAGGTTTTTACGAAAGAAGACGAGGTCTGGGTTAAAACGTAATTGTGTTGCGCGTGTGTTCTTTTAGATAGCCGGAACTTATAGCTAGCATCAATGGGCGTCTGGTGTCTCGGGCGTAGATGAGAAATTTAGTCAGTGCAGTACAACCGCTAGCCTATATAGGTCTTCGACGTGAACAAGGAAGTGGGAATACACGACCGCACGCCGGTGCGATGCTCATCCAGTTCGAAACGGGCAGGGATGGGGACTGAACACCGTGGGTTCTGCAACACTGCGAGCTTTCGCTACACGCTGTCCTAGCTGCGGCCCATGAATACACTTGGCCGCCGACTTCCAGAGGTCTCGGGTAAGAGTTTGGTCGAGAACAGAGCGCGGGCGTTCTCGGCTGCTGATTGGGCGCGGCGTGGCGGCTTCTTGCTGGGGCCGCTGAATCGACGAATGAGCAATGGTTGACCCGCTTGGGAGTTCACGGTAGGGCGATATTTGGGTGAGAACTCCTCATCGGACACACAAATGGAGAGGTATTTATTGCCGGCTCGGATGTGCTTGTCCCGAGTAAAAAAGGTTCCCCCCATCGGTCGATGGGGGGGGGGGGGGGGGGGGGGGGGGGGGGTTTAGGGCAGCAGAACATCTGGAGATTCGCGAAGGAAGCGCCGGGTGTGTTTCGCTTCCAACCCAGCGGACGATTGCCAGTTCAGCCTGGCTGCATTTGATGTCACCTCGGCGCTTCGCTCGGTTCGTAGCGGGGATTGCCTCTTGATCGGTTTATTAGCAGTCGACGTACGGTGTTTTCCAGTTTTATCTTTGAATAGGGCCGCGTAGCACACAGACCCGTTTTGTACTCGCGTCGGCGGAGGAGCCATTTTTGCGAAGGCCATCTTAGCTCACTCGGTTAGAGGATGGAAGTAGGTCTCGCGGCCATCAAGAGCGGAGCCCTGCGCCCTTACGCCGCGCGTTTCTGACGCGTTGGCGACGGTTCAGAACGGACCGAGGGCTCGCTCGTTCTGAGACGCCTCTCGCAACTTTCCAGGGAAATTTCCCTACCGAGGAAACTTTCCCGGAAAGGCTGCATTGCCGCATCGCGAGTCGTGCTTGGGGAAAGCTCTCTCTCCTATCTCGCCGGAAGTTGCTTGTGCACCTAAGCGCACACCACACTCCATCGCCAGTCTAGAGAATTACCACTCGTTCGCATGCGTGCGCCAAACCAATACCAGCTGGAAGACGAGGCCTGCGCACGGCGTTACGGTATGTGGACTCCCGACCCGCCCCTGGCGGCAGACAGGCTGAAACTCGACGGCAGGAGAGTCTGGCGTCGCCAGGTGCTCGCGTCGCACTCGTTGGGGGGAGCCGAAAGAACGCGCTGTCTGCGCCGGGAGCGAAGTTGAGTTGCCCGAATCCCTAGAAGGGGGGGGGGGGGGTTTACACCCCCCCCCCTAGGGGGTGCGTAAACCCCCCCTTGTTTTTTTTTTGAAGGCACCCCCTTAATTCGCAACGACTCCTCTTATCTCAATGCCCCCCACCATAAAACTTTCGACCGCCCCCCCTAAAAATTGAGACACCCCCTCCCCCTAATTTCAATTCCTGGGGAAACCCCTGGCCCGGATTTACTTGTAATGACGTTTGTGGTGGTTTCTATAGAGGTGCTATTGACTGGACTCGCCAGTGTGTAGAAAAGATCGTCGTTCCCTTTCATACTACAATGCGTGTCAATGCTCGCGAGCGCCTGACTTCATCTAGCCAGGCCACGTCCAAATCAAGATCTGTTTTTAACGCGATAGCGTTAAGGAACTCCTCTCGCAGAAAATCCGGCGTCGGCGGGACCGGAAAATCCTGATTGGCAAAGAAAATTGTCGAGAGAGAGAGAGAAAGCTTCTTTTTAAAGGAAACTGTTGAAGCGTCTCATTTTCACGAGATCTCCTGCAGACCGAACACTAGATGAAGACGAGGGCTCGAGCCAGCGGCCCTGACAGCGTTGTACACCAAGGGTTAATCGGAGCATGGTGTGCTTATTGTCCCCTATATATTACATTTCCGCCGTAGGGTTGCTCTACCAGTGAATACGCGGGAGAAGGAAAGGAGAATCGAAGCCACGACTGCCGACTGGCCAGCTCAGTGCAAACTCTTCACTCAGTGGTTTCATAGAACACTTTTCACTCACCTGAATGGCGATTTCGATAAAAAAAAAAAAAAAAAAAAGACGCGCAGCAAAAAGCCGTTATTTTATTTTCGACAATCTCAAGCCGCTCCATTTTACTGATTCTATATAGACCACAAGATATACAGAGTATATAACTCAATAACTTATAGTGCTGTTATATAACAGCGCCGTACAGATTGCGTGAAAACATTTTTGCTATAACCCGGCTTAGTTCTTCTGTAAATGCATCGCCAGCAAGCATGGCAAAGGTCTATACGGCAAAGAATATTCCTGGGTCAGTTCAGGAAAACCGAATAGCGTGCGCGCATAGTTGTGATTCTAGCAGCTCAACATGTACGAGAGGAAAGCGCCGATAGTTTGATTGCTGAAGAGAGCTTTCACCGGGTGGAATGACCTCCTTCAAAGAGAACCTGCGAAGGCTTGCGAAAGCTACGGGTACACTTTGAGAAAAAAATGCAGCATGTCGCCGTCGGCGAACCCACCCGCGTCGATCTTCTCGGTAGTGCACAACAACGGAGTCCCCACACCCCAGTGCTTTCTCTCCTTGGGCTTCCGCAGGAACATGTCCTCCTTGTGCTTACTCGCGTCGATCTCGCACGAGAGCAGCTTGGACCTGTCCCGCGGGTGAACGATGCCGAGCTTATAGACCTTGCTGAAGGGCCACTCCAAGTCCGAATCTTTGCTTCCGGGATGAAGGCACATGTAGCAGCCAACGCACAGCTGCTGGTTCTCTTTCCTGAGGATCTTGACGTACATGGAGACGACGTAGTCGTGCGCGTTCCACGCTGGACTCTCGTAGAACTCCATGCTGCCCGCGAGCGCCTTGGCCTTCTTCGCCGCCCAGTCGTCTGGGTACCAGTGGTAGGTCTTGGGTCCGCAGAAGCGCAGCACGTCTTGGGACACCCTGGCCGTGGCCGCGCTCAGCTTGTGGCTCCACGCGTTCAGCTCCCTGACGATCACTTGCTCGTTCTTGTCGCTCGCCGCGCTCACCGCAATGGCCACGCGGGTCGCGACCTCCTCGAAGGGCATCCGCTGCTCGGCGAAACCCGCGGCGCAGACCGCGTCCAGATTACGAAGGCTCGAGGATTGGGCCTCCAGCTGCTGCCTGCAGCCGGCGTCCACGGCTCGGACGTCTTCGCAGCATCGGTTGACGCTGGTCTGCAGCGACGCGATGTCGTCCGAGATCCTGGCCAGGACTTCCTTCACCTCGTCGCACGCCCGCTCGACTGCGGCGTCGCGGCTATAAAGGGCCCCGGTCGTCGCGGGCGCCTCGGAGACGAAGGCCACGCTGCAGCAGTCGTCTCGGCAGTGATCCACGATGCCGCTCCGCAGAACGTGAGACTCGCACCTGGGACAGGACACCGCGTGGAAGGCGCAGCCCTGATAGTGGTCCACGAGACCGGAGACAGGCCCCACGAAGCCGCAGCCGTGGGACGCGTTCCAGCAGGCCACCTTGAGGGAGAGGGCCCATATGCTCCCATTGAACACTGGGGAGGTAGCTGCGCAGTGCACTACTTTGTTTTTTTTTTTTGGGGGCGGTTAGGGCTAGTCAGTAGTAGAAAAAGTGTACCAGAAAAGGTAGTAGCAAAAGTGTACAAGAAACTGGGACTCCAATCAGGTCCGGAAAACTCTATGCAACTCCTGGTCCAAGTCGTCTGCTTCTTTCTACAGAAGTTGCGGTGACCTCAGAACGACGCCGAGCTCTAGTTGGCTCCGTTGAAACGATAATTAAAGGATGAAAGAATGTCGACACAGCACTCCGGACAGCTACCGCCATCTATAGGCGACGGCGGAAACCAGCCAAGCGGCTCGCCGGTTGTCTGGTTGCCGCCGTCGCTCATAGATGGCGGCAACCTTTCCAGCCTTTCTGCTCTGGGTTGCCGACTTGCGGCCGACCATTACTTCATTCCCACCATAGTACCAGCTTCGCTTGTCTTCCTTCTTTACCAGAGTGGAAAGGCTGAAAGTGTTTTTATTTTAATTTCTAATATTCTGTGTAAATGTCGTAAACGTTTCATGAAAGATGTAGAAAAAATTATTGCTACGTGCGTGCTACGGTGTGAAATTGACGAGTGTGCCAAACACCATAGTGAAACTTTGGCAGTCTCCACGCCTGGAGCTTAGAAAGTTCGTTCCTCCGGAAGAAAATGAGCCACCACGTTCGCATATAGCTGAATGTCCCTCCCAAGAACATTCCTTTCGCATATCCAGTATATATATATATATCCTAATTTGCAAACTTGTTTCACTTGAAATTAGAGTTGCCGCGCTAGCGAGCTGGTGGAAGCCTATACTAAAAAGGCCAGAAACGGGAGAAACAAAAAATAAATAAATAAGAGCGGGATAAACACAACACAGTCGCAAATCACAGCTGAAAATGGTTACTTGGTGAGTGTAAATGTCCAGGCATTGTATAAGTAAAATGGATATATTCATATATATATACATATATATGTATATCAGGGTGTCGAACCGGAACCGAACCGAAAACCGGAACCGAACCGGTATTTTTTCCGGAACTGAACCCGAACCCGGTTCGGGTTCGGGTTCAGTTCCGGTTCGTTATATTGTTATCGCGATGAACCCGAACCCGAACCGGAACTGAACCGGAAAAAATATAACGGTTACCGGCTCATGTCAAAACGGTTCGGCCACGTGCTGTTGACAATGAATGTGCTATCAATGCCATTTGTTTTTTAAGTGCCGTCAACTGACACACACCTCGCTTACATATTTTTCTTCTCCACTCAGTCTTAGGAATATAAACGCTGCATCCATGAATCTTGACATAGGAACCAGTATTGCGCTGGTCGCGGCTTGCACGAAAAAAAAAGAATTGGAAGGCTGTGCAAAAAAAAAAAAAAAAATCGCGTCACGGGATTTCATTTTTCTACAATCTCGTAAATCCTAAATGCTGCTGTGTGCTCATTTCATAACACTTTTCTAGAACGCGCGAGTTCTTGAAGCTTGCTTCCATCGGAATGAGAAGAGAAAAGGCTGTGGAGTTTGATAATAATGCATCCGGTTTCGTATAGGCACTGAGAAGCTAACATATTTGTGAGACAGCGAACTCTTCTATTTTAATATTTATCCTATTACGTCCTTCTGGCGTTGCGTTCGGTAAAGTGTTTTTCATATTCCGTATCTTGTTTAATGAAAACTTCTTTAAGGGTCTAATTTGAGTTACCGAAGGCTAGTTCAAATAAAGAAAGCTGTATTTTCTCCCCACTGTTCCTTCAATTGCTTACACGCCGAGGTGGCGGGATAGTTAGCGAGTTCTACTTGTAAGCGGGTTTGTAAGGAGGTCGCGGATTTTACAGCTACTGCGTCGGGCTCAATTAGATGAAGTCCGAATGCGTAAACGTCGGTGAGGTAACCTTTGAGTGCACATAAAGAAACCATTCCTGGTAGAAATCCCTGAGCCTTACACTACGATGTATCCCGTTTCGTATGTGCTGATTTCAGATGTTTTATTTGTAATTTATTTTGATGTTGCAATTTGTCATTTATAATTTCTGAACCGGTTCGCGGATCGAATTAGTCGAACCGGAACTGAACCGGAACAAAATAAATTTACCTGAACCTGAACCGTAACCGAACCCGTATTTTTTTCGGTTCGACACACTGATATATATATATATATATATATATATATATATATATATGTGTGGAGACACCCTTCTATTACATGAACTAAGACTAGCGGCGTCCTCTTAGACAACAGTATGTAGTTGAAAGTTAGCTGTGACGACACGACATCCGAGATCGACTCACCGACTGTCAACGGTTTTAGTCTCTGTACTGCGATTTTTTGAGTTAGCGGTTGGCAGTGGATAAACATCCGTTGTAAACCGAGAACTTTTTCTTTTTTTCAGTGATGGCGATATGGTTACACAGGTTCGAGTCGGGTGTCTGAAAGCAATGAAAGCGCGGAGCCAATGAGCGTGGTCCCGTTCGTGACACCCCCTAACCGTGTCAGGAGCGATTGGAAACAGGCTGAAAATGTCCATACCAAGAGGTTTGGCACCACTTTGTCGAAGGCCCATGCACGAGCCTTCTACCAAACACTGTTGCTTTTACTCCTTTTTGTATCGGGATATGCCGGCACAAGGTGCATGTATACATGGACTAGTAGGAGAAGATAGAGGTTACTCGTTTCGCTGTTGGCCATGATGGTCGTGTGTCCTCGTCCATGATACACTATTGGTGCTGTGGCCGCAGACACAATCGAGGCCATAGCGCGTGCTGGATCGCACCGGGGCAACGAACGCTAACGCATCTAACAATTACGACACTCGGTTTAAGCTCGACTCAGCTGTTTCCGATCGCCCTAAGGATGGGGCTGGCATGGACACCTTCGGAGCGGAAAACACACGCTTACAACTCGGGATCCGCCGCGACACATTAGAAGCCGCTTCTAATGTTTCGAACGAACGGTTCGACATCCTGCCTATAAGAGTCTATATATGAGATCCAGGCCCAAGCCGCACAGATTTGGCCACTCATTGGCCAATGACTTTAAATGGTCCTTTGGCCAGTGGCCAGACAGTGGCCAGCCATTGGCTGATGACTGGCCTTTCTCTGGACATTGGCCAATGGCCAGAAGATAGAGGTTACTCGTAGGAGAAGATAGAGGTTACTGGCTTTTCTCTGGCCATTGGCCAATGGCCACTGGCCATCAGCCATCGGCCACTGGCAATCAGCCAATGGCCACTGGCCATCAGCCAATGGCCACTGGCCATCAGCCAATGGCCACTGGCCATCAGCCATCGGCCAAGCATTGGCCGATGAATGGACACTTTTTGGCCATTGGCGACAAGACTATCGCCAGCCATTGGCCAATGCTTGGCCAAATTCCGTGCTACTTGTGCGAGTGAGTGCTCTCCCATATATATATATATATATATATATACCCTTCGCTTGCCGAGGTAGGCTTCCGAGAGCTCGTGCTGAATGAGATCGTCCTCGCAGAAGGAGCCCTGGTCGAGCGGGCAGCAGTTGCCTCGTTGCACGCAGTCCGCCTGGCATTCGCTGCACAGCGTGTGGGCGCAGGGCAGCTTGACCGCTTTCCGGGACACCAGTCCGCACAGGCTGCACGCGCTCTGGGCGATCACCGCCTCCTGAAACAGCATGGGCCTCCAGTCCAAGGAGGCCGAGAATCCGGTCACGAAGAGAGGCCTCGCGCACGCAAGGTCGCCGCCCTCCGCCATCTTTTTCTTTCGGCCGCCGCCAGCTACGCCTGCAAAAACGGAAAAAGACATTTCGAGGGTGTCAAGACAAGCGAAAAGAGCATCTAAGAGACGGCCAGGGTCGCGGTAAAAGAGGGAGGTTGAGCGTCAGGCCCGGGGGAACGATTCTGAAGGCAGCGACACGCGCAGGTAGCGACCGCATACAACCAACCGTATACGCCGGATTTATGAAACAATCTTACGACAAGAAAAGGTCCGTACGACAAAAGCTAAGAACAAATTCGTATTCTCGAACGAAATTATTGTAAGTTTTGCGTCGTTACGTTGAAATCTTACGACAGCTCCAGAGGTTTCTTGCGCACTTTTTACGATCAAATCCTCATGGCCGACAACATATTGCTGGCTTATACATCGCCACAACGACCAAAGGGCGCTTATTTTTCCAATCACTTTCCGCGCACGTCCCGCCTTCAAGATGCAGTGAGAGAAATTACATAAGTATTCGAAACTGAACGGCACAGAGACGAACGTTGGAACCACTAATGCCCGGAAAAGCTACAGCGGCAGCGATCCCACCAGCCAAGCGACCGTTAAGGCTAGGCCTAACAAGGCATTCCGACGCAGCGCTGCTCCGACGGTGGGCCCTTCCAATGGGGCTCCCCCTTGGGGAAGGGGAGGGGGGGGGGGGGAGGGAATAAAAAAAAATGAAAGGCGTTTACAATTCTTTGTAACGCCGAATTAGAGCGCAGCTCTTGAGAAGGAGGAGGGGAAGGTACAGAGAGGAGGCTATGCCTCTCCTCTCCTGCTCGCCTCCCATTTAGGAAAAAAAATTGCCGCTAAAATTAGCGGAGAATTTTTTCCACCAAATTTAGCGGGGAAAATTTTCCGCTATATTTAGCAGGTAATTTTTCCCGCTAAATCTAGCGGCGAAATTTTTCCACTAAATTTAGGGGGAAATTTTCCGCTAAAGTTGTCGGGGAATTTTTTCCGCTCGGGAAAATTTTTCCGCTAAATTTGGCAAGAAACTTTTCCCGCTAAATTTGGCGGGGAAAGTTTTCCCGCTAAATTTGGCGGGGAAAGTTTTCCGCTAAATTTGGCGGGGAAATGTACCCATAATGCACCGCGCGGTTACGCCAACGGTGACGGCGACGCCGCTCAAGCCGGAAGCGGAGCTGCGCTCTAATATCACTGCGGCGGTATATAGAACACAAGATAAAAAAGAAAACGCGGCAATTCAGCCGCCACCAGCGTCCGGAATTGCGCCCAACGCAGGCTGCCACAGCCTACTGACGAGAAACTCCACAGCTCAGCGCAGTCGGGCAACACTGACGTACACTCTCAAAACCAGGGACGGGCGCTGTAAATCGCTTCGTTCGAGACTGCCGCTGGAAAGGTCTATAGACCTTTCCAGCGGCAGTCTCGAACGAAGCGCGTCCTTGAATACCGATTTCCAAACTTTTTACAATGTGACTAACTTACGAACTTCTAACCTAAATTGTCGTAGCCTAAGAAGCTCTCCGTGAATCTGGCCTCACATCTTTTCTTTTTGTAATAAAAAAAAAAACAAAAACAAAAAAGATCGAGGTACACCTAAGCACTTCTTGTGAGTTGTGAATGCGAAAGCATGCACATCATTCTTGCTCTCCGCGTGTTGGCGCGCTGCGAGTCAGTTTCAACGACCGGCCACCCCATGGCGCTGCGTGTCCGGCGAATGAGAGCCTGGTCGACGCGCGTTAGCCAATGGGATCGAAGCGGTGTAAAAGGTGCCGTGGCTAACTGACGAATGGGAGCTGGCTTGACTTGGAGAAGGATTAAGAGCCGTTTGGCATGGTTTCAAAGCTGATGTCGTCGGCTCGTTCCATGAGACAGTTAATGCTTTCGCATTAAAACATAAATTCTAGAAGCGTCTGCGGGTGAGCGAGGGCGCCACCATCCCAATACCCTATTTATGTGATTTTCTGCTGTTTTGTCATTTCCCCCGGTTTTGACTGCCCGTTCGGCGCAGACGTTACAGGATCCTCCCCCCCCCCCCCCCCCCCCCCCCCCGCAAAGGAGGCAATCATCTGGCATAGTAAAGGACTGGTGATTAGACCAGGTGGGGATTCCTTATAGGTGTCATCGGAGTTTATCTTTTGTTCAAAATTCAGAGTTTATTGGAGTTTATCCCTTTCTTTAAATCTCAATTTTCCGAAATTCAGAGTTCAACTATACACTGTTTCCAATTCTTTAAAATTAAGAATAAAAATAAAATTTACCCGGACACGACCGTATTCTAAATTCACAAGGACATCACCTGAATCGAATGATATGTCGCAGCTGCATTGGAAATTGCCGCCATCAGCGTTGAACGTACAAACTATCTTACGATAAATCTTGCAAAAGAAATGTTCCTTAAAGTAACGTTAGTAGTTTAATATAACTAAACACCTGAACGTAGTCGCTGGGAAGCAGAGAAGCTCCAGCTGGCCTGCCCCCTTTCTAGGAAATCCACAGGCTCATAGCTTTCAGTTATAAAAACGCGACCCCTGCTTCCTATAAAATACAAAAATAGTATGATCCAAACTTGAAATCGGAACAGTGATTTTTGTCGTGACCTAAACGAACAGAGACTCGTTGTTCTGAACAAACCTCGACGAGATAAACGGGAAACTCCCTTTTGTCAATAGTCCGAGATGTCGAAGGGAACCCAAATGGCCTCTTTTACAGATCGGTCGACACTCTGCTCTCACAAGATTTATTTGTAAAATACCGTGTTTTTTTTTCTTTTTATTTTACCATCGTGACCTTGAAAATCCAAGTTCTTCGGAAAAGATCCGAACTAACAAAAATTTCAACCGGCGAGTGATTTTCTTTTGTTTATCCAAAGACAAGGAAGTCTAAAACGTATATGCAACCAAATTTTTTGCTACATGGTACCTACATCACAGTAGGTAAGCCTTCGTCGTATTGCGGCACTTGCACTGTGAGACGAGAAGCCTGGCGAGACCCCATTTCATAACGGTGGAAGGAATCACGGGGGTGGCCCTTGGGCAGTGTAGCACATTATCGAGTATATTCCCGTACGTAGCTTCGCCTAGTATCTAGAGAATGTGAAAGTCACGTAGCACCAGGCAGGAGAGCTTAGTCTTTGAGCAAAGCTTTCGCACGCACACTTTCCGCCGTGCACACTACGAAAAAACGGTATGCAGAGAGCAATTGTCGTCTGCTTCTTGCGCCAGAGTTGCGATGACGTCAGAACTATGCCGAGCTCTGATTGGCTTTGGTTTAAAAGATAGATGGTAGACCTCAATGCTTTGTTTTCAATCAGCCAATGAGAGTTCGGCATACTGACGTCATCGCGACCCCTGCGGAAAAATCAAGCAGACGAACTCCCGCTCCGCAAAGGCTTGTCTGCAATCGAAGTTGCAGTAACCATAAAAAGGGGGAATTCCGAGCCTATTGCGCCGTTATTGTCTTCTGAATGGGCTCATTGACCTCGTTCTACTATCCATGAAACGGATATTAGGACACCACTTCCAGGGAATGCGTCATCTCAGTGTGTGTGGCTCGAAGAAGCTCAAGCAAAAGCGAAGCCATGTGGACGCATACGAATGTTTATACGGCTAGTATTGTCGCGTGGAATATGGCGGCACTGGTTCAGTAAAGTGCTGCCAGTGCAGTCTACCGGGGATTCGGCATTATGAAGTAGTGATGACACGACCGCACGCTCGTACGATATGCAGGCGACATGTAAGCTTGGGCGTGTGGGCTTCCCGAAATGCTTCGGAAGAAGCGCGTTCCTCACCGCTAGGGCGAGCTTCGTCGATAGATATATTGCGCTGATCTAAGCAAGACATTGACGCACAGGCAACCAGGCAGCTGCGAGGGGGCGTGGAAGTATTATGCTTTGGAGACGCGAGGAAACAAATCCTGACTGCATTACGATACAAATGCACGAGCAGAATTGCAATAATTGCCCATCCGATCTGCTGAAAGATGTCAAATACCTAGGGATGCGTATAGACAAACCAATTAAATAAAATATTCACGTAAAACAAATTTGTAAAAGAAATAAATAAATTAAGGATATTAATGGCGCACATGTGCCGCATACAAGATCTGGTCCCTCGATCCCTACTAAGAATGATGTACAATTCACTGGGCAACTCCATATTCCAATATGAAATGACGGTCTACGAACACTGTGCCAAATATTTACGACTAAAAATAGAATCGATTAAAGAAAGGAGTCAGGAATACCGGTTACCTAAGTGAAGAATCTGATCTGCAAAACCATGTGCATAAAAAAACTAGGAATGTTGCGTTTTAGAGACCAGATGAAGTATGACATTATTATAAAATATTTTTTTCAGCATCAAACATGAAGTGTAAAATGCAAAAAAAAAAAAAAAAGGTTAAGACCGAAGAAAATATTGAACCAGTTATTTATATTAAATATGGAGAGGCCACAAGAAATTATTTTGTACCTAAGGTTTCTAATAAATTATCTGAAGAGTTACTTAAATAAACACCACCACCCCCAAATAAAGAAGGTAAAAAACATGGATACTTGAATGCAGTAAAACACACCCCTAGAGAATTGGTTTTCTTCGATAAGTTGGATTGTAGTTAACGACGTGACGCAAGTAAAGCCAAAATCCAACATATCTTATACATTACTGCTGTTTAATAAATTGGGGGAATAGACTAAAACTATATTTTTTCCTGGAGCTAGAAACTGCATTTATTTTGCAACGGTGCGTTTTAGTGCATGTTTCCTAATTCGCTAACAAAAATGCAGAGACATTTCTGGCGCCTCACGCACAAGCCAATATTGGCTTATGTGGGATTTACATTGGAACTGCATTTTAAGCGAAAAATATTGTATTGTATTACCGAAATATATAGGAAATATAAGAAAACAGGTCAAGGTATAGTTTCACTAATGCACTTTCTCGTTCAGCGTGCTAAAAACTTAAAAAGAAGAGATTAATTCGAGGAAACACGTTGCAAATCTTTTTATTTTTTGCTTGAAATACAATATGGTGGAACTCGAGATTGCTATTCATTGACAGATACCAGTCGTTGTGTAAATAAACGTAATTATCGGGTTACTGAAAAAAAAACTGCTTTAAAAGCTTTCAGATAAAATGCAAGTGGCGATTACGCCAAGAAAGATAGAATATATGCGCATTGTTGTTAACGACCTTCAGAAAAGGCTCCCAAGCTGATCAAAGTAGCACACCACTGCTTAAAAAACGGTGTCTACCTGCAAGCCAGGAAGAAGCATTTCTGCAATTCGTTAGAAAACACTTTCTAAGTCACGCTAACTGACGCGCCTCTTGGGAACCTTCAGCAAGGAAGACTACTACTGCCATTCTCTTTCTGTTCGCACCTCTCGAAAACTTTAATTCGTAGAGCATGCTCAGCAGCTTACAACGGCGCTCTGTCGATCCCCGAGAAAACTTCAACACTTTGCGCGGAAACAGCAGCCACGATTTCCCCGTCATATCCGGGAAAAGAAGTAAAAAAAAAAAATGCAGGCTGTTGAGAACGACTCGGCTGACCTTAAGGGATCCGATGCGCAGACGGACTACGGCTCTAATCTCAAAAACAAATGCAGCGTGTCGTCTCGGACAAAGCCGCCTCTCTCGATCTCATCTGCGGTAGTAAGAAAGCTATTTCCGTAGCCCCGGTTGTGTTTATCCTTGGGTCTCTGAAAAGGCAATTTGTTTTCAGACAGGCTGGCGTCTTCCTCGCACGATATTACTTTCCTCCTGTCCGTAGGATGAAGGACGCCGAGCGTGAACGTCTTGCCGAAAGGCCATTCTAGCCTGGCGTCGTTCTCGCCAGGATGGATCTCCAAGAAGCAGCCGAACCGCAAGCGCCCGCCTTCCTTGTGAAGCTGGATTAGCTGGGACACCCTGTAGCCGCTCGTGTACTGCGGGGGGCTCTGAGCCTTCTGCGGGCTTTTGAACGCACGCAGCTTCAGGGCCGCCCAACCCTCCAGGTACCAGTGAAGTGCCTCGGGTCCGCAGCAAACACGCACGCTTTTGAACAACTGTTCGGTGATGGCCACCAGCCTCTCACTCTGCGAGCACAGTTCTTGAGTGAAGTGCAGCTTGCTGTCTACACTAGCAGCCTCCATGGCGTTCCTGATATCCACCGCGACCCGGTCAAGGACGCTGCGATCTTGCGTGAAACCTGTCCTGCAGAGCGCGGCAAGTCCTGCGATCTGTTCTGCAAGCACCGACGATTGCGCTTCGAGTCTTTCCGTGGACCTTCTTTCGCCTTCTCGGACACTCTCGCAGCACTGGTTGAGGCTGGTCTGCAGAAACATCAGGTCTTCGGACGTCTTGAGCATGGCTTGTTTCAGGTCGTCGCTCGCTTTCTCTATGTGGTCGTAGTCTAGCAGGGCACGACTGCAAGTTGGCGCTTCTTTAGCGAGAGGGACTCTGCAGTCATTTCTGCAGTGGCCCGCAATCTCGCTCCTAAGCACGGAAGAGCTGCACCTAGGGCAGGAGACTACGTGGAACTTGCACTCCTTGTAGTGGTCCAGAAGACCGGCGACAGGGCCCACAAAGCTGCAGCCGCTGAAGACGTTCCAGCACGCCACCTTAGGGAAGAAAACACATAGGAGGATTGAGTACAAGCTCCATTTTGGTATTTTGTTAGTACAGCATGAAAGCGAGAAGCTGCGTTTACAAAATCCGACTTTCAAGTAGTTTTTGCAAGATTGAGACTCCCACTTTCAATTTCATGCTCTGAGCATAACTTCATTTGACCATCCTTTCCAACTATGCCTTGGAGCAGTTTTTTGTTATTTTGCTGATGATTAAAACAAGCTCTAAAGAGAAAATGATCGGGACGATGAGCATCTTAACATTCCAGGACAATATGCTCACGCTACACACTCTTGAAACTTTACCATAGTCAGCAACAGGTTAAGAATGCAGTAGAAGCTACGCCTGAAGCACGCGCTCGTTGTCTCCCACCGGGATTTAACCGCGCCTGCCTCGAAGTGTTGCCAAAGTCAGGAAGCTCGCGCTGGAGGCGCAGCATCTACTGCGCTCTTAACCTGTCCCCGAGAATAGCGACGTTAACGTGTGACAAAAGTCTCGAGGAATATTGCGTCCACTCGACGTCAAGTTCAGCAAACGCCCTCACCCTGCGCTTCCCGAGGTAGCCGTCGGAGACATCGAGTTGGATGAGGTCATCCTCGCTGAAGGACTCTCGGTCGAGCGGACAAGTGCTCCCTTGTTCGACACAGTCCTCGTGGCAGTCCGAGCAGAACGCATGAGCGCAGGACAGCTTCACTGCCTTCCTGGAGACCACTCCGCACAAGGAACACGCGCTCTGCGCGATGACCGCCTCTTGAAACAACAATGGCCGCCAGTCTAGAGCGTCGGAGAATCCAGACATGCAGTAGGACCTCGTGCTGACTGGGCCGCAGTCACCGTCCGCCATTCCTTTGGCTGCTGACGAGTGCAGTTAAAGAACCTGTGAAAAAGGAGAGGAGTCTGAATCGTCAGACAGGATCGAGCCCTGTTGGCGTCTGTGAATGATGGAAGGTAGGGATTTCTCTTTTTTGAGCCACACAAGGAATAGATCTTCACCACACAGATGACGTCAATACCATTTAATTTAATAGACGAAAGCGCGTGACAATCGTTACACAGCACCACTCTAGCAGATACCTTTATTTTTCCTTGGATACTTACCACAACCATTGCAGAAAGTAGATAGGCCTGTTGTTTGTTTTGCTGTGGACCGCGTTTAAAGATGGCCACGCTCGTTGCCTAGCGCCATGAACGTACGCTTCGCAGAAAATGCCCGCTCGCAGAGGTAAGCTCAGAAACTACGTGCTGCACACACACATAATTCGCGATGTATCAAGAGGTGCGTCAAGTACTACGGGCTGGCACAACATATTTGTCATTTATCAGATGTGTAAGGAGGTGAGGTATCTTCGTGTTCAAACTGCTCCACTCACACCCGGGTGCGTGGTGGTCTGCTAGGCTCAGTGGCATTCATTTTACGCAGTAAGATTCGCTCAAAAAGTTGATTCGTTGATTTTTCATTCACCCTTATCACATACGAAACGACTCGGTGTTTCTTCCGATGTGATCTTGCTGTCTGGCGACAGCTCTACTGAACTTTAAAGAAGCAGGTCTAGCAATTGTGTTTTCATTAATTATCCCGGCGACGAAAGTGTTGCACCTTCTGCCCCCAATTGCGGCATGAATTAAAGTTTACTACATATTGTGCCAAAGTGCCAGAATTGCGCCACACCTCCGCCGAGATGGGCTTAAGCAGAGCAAAAGAACTAAAATATTTTATTGTTGGTCGATGCTAAAATTTAGAGGAGTCGCACGAAAAAATGATGCAAAGACGTATTTCACAGCGTTTCTACTCAACGTATAGTTTGTTTCATCTTAGGTCAGAGCACAGTCGAAGGCTCGCACACATACAACCCCGAACACGCCTAATAAAGCTGCTGCTTTTAATTGACCTAGCCGATGAAGGAACATGCACCGAAAGAAGGACGAATATCATAATGTCGCGCTTTGACGTTGTTTGGTTGACTTCATTGGCTGGCAGCGCCGGTGTGGCTTTGGATTTTAAGATGAAACGAAGTATTGAAATTGCTCGTCATCACGCGATGGCCTGCTGATTTGGCTGGAGGGTCGATCTTGGACATTATCTAAGTTTCCAGACGATGTCGGGTGCTAAAAGTTGCGAGAAAACATTGCGGAATAATTGGATGGCGGCTACTGTGGTAAGACAGAACCAGGGTCTTGTACTCCTCATGAAGTCGCATGATTATCATGTCTGCCGCATGTCTCCGTGCCAGATCTCACCAGCACGCGCACGCGCAGAGCTTCACCGCTTTGCACCGGAGCACTAGGAGCAGCTGCTGACTTAGGGGAGCGCAATAGGCTCGGAAATTATGCTCAAGACTATCAGAGGTCTAAATACATTTGACTTAATTGCAGGTTAATCTCTGATCTAAAAGAAAAAAGCTGAAACGAGAAAGAGAAGTAAAAAAATATATCGCGGGTATATTTTTGAGTAAATACGGTAGTCAAGTCAAGGCAGCTGTCGATCGAAAGAGCAGCGAACCTTGACTTCACTATGGTTTCAACGCCGCCAAAAAGCAGGGTCACTTTTAAAGCGCAAGTTTAGGCCTTCATAATACTTGTGGGTGGTTGTTTTTGCAGTTTATAACAATGAAGTCTCGAGATTCGCAGGCCCATAAAACTTGGGGCACACACTTTATTGATAGACGTTTTAGCGGATATACTAATTTTTGCTGGCATTTTACAGAAATTATACTTACTGGCTAAGTAAACTACCGGGTATAAGAGTGGGAGTGGAGAGAGGCTTTATGCCATCTGAAGTGTTGCGCTATGATTCATTTTCCATTAATTTTTAGAACCCATTATAAATTGAACCTACACTTACCATAGGCTTATTTCTTAAAAGTAGGTTCTGTGTTCCTTTTGCGCTCTATGTATTCTTATTACAAGAGGTCATAATATGCTCCAGTATCAAAGAAGAACCCTCAGCTATTTTCAAAAATAGGCTCATTTAGCGATGCAACACTTTGTTTTTTCATCTTCAAGTGATGAGCAAACAGATGTTGACATCTACTCTAACAGCGTCAGTGGCTGCTCCTGAACAACATTTTGACTGCTATTGAGCCTGTTACAAAAAGTCAAAGGCAGCCTCTATTACTGTTATCCTAGTAAGAAAACAAGGAAATCTTATTTAAAATATTTTTGTACTAAATAAACTAAACAAAAAAAGTACCAGTATACCTGCTGCCATCAACAAAGTCGCCTTCTGAAAGAAATATCCACAAAGCATATATCAACAGAGCATGCGCTGATCGTTTGTTTTGTTGCTATACGTGTGCTTAAGGGTGCGAGGAAAGATATACATATAGAGGTGCCATTTATAAGATGACAATTTTGTAGGTATACAAACAAATATTACAAAGTCGACGTACCTAAATGTGGAAGGAATCATGCAATCATGTACTCAACCTCAAAAATCGGAGTTCTTTTAGTGTCAGCAACACTTGGCTAAGACACAGAAACAGTAAATTCTAATCAATCGCAACACTTTCTCTCCTTTCAACCTATCCAAGTGTTTAAATATGCAGGTGCATCAACTGTAAGCAAGGAAATCGAATGGAAAACTGCTTCGACAGAGTAAACCCAATTGCAGGATCAAAATCCAAACCTTTCGATTGCTGGCAAGGGGCCTACCACTAGTCTGCATTGGGAGAGTCTTTCGGCAGATACAATTAGATCCTGTTCTTTGCGGTTTATACGTTCGCGTATTTTGAAGCAATCAATCGGATATATGTGACTACTTAATGTATTCCTTGCTCGAATACGATAATGTAATGCACTTTTTGTCAGGTAAATATGACAATACCTAATCAAAAGTACGCACAACAACGCAAAACATGTAGCGTATTAACCTTTTTCATTCATTTTTTAACTTAACGGATTCACAGCCTTAAAATAGAACCACCACTCGTGAAATGGAAATGAGCGTCTTATTACACAACAGCTCTTTTTGAAATTAATGCTTTTGGACAAATCAATGCCATGCGGTATCTACTGTGTTGTCGCTATAGCTCTCGCTAAAGTCATGTCGTGGGTAAGCACTACCCTTCCACCCTTATTGTTTACGCTTGCTTTTCAAGCAGCAATGGAAAAACAAAAACAATATGTGTTGCATGACTGCATCATCCAGAACATCACCCCAAACCTTTTGGAACATTGATACCATTCGTTTGTTCTTCCATTGTCCACAATTAAGATATTTCCTGTCTGATGTGATTGCCATTTTAACTCTTTGCAAGAACGCTTTACACCTTTTACATTTACATTAAGAAGCTAATCAAAACCTTACAAAAAAATTTAGATTAAATGTATCATGAAGATACCTTATTTTTCCTTTGACCAGGTATAGCACTCTGAAGAAAAAAAGAAAGGGTGTGGCCATTACATTCCTTGTCACATATAAGACACCCCAAAACTTCAGTTTGACGTACAGCACACTGATGTCGAGCTGAGGGCCCCAACCTTTGCGAGAGGCCGGATGATGGTGGGATAAAACATAATAAACAGCCTAAGCACGTATCAAAAGCTGCAGAAAAAAACAACAAAAACACTGAGGTTTTGCACATAATAAACAGCATAAAAACTGCAGAAAAAAAAACAATGAGGTTTTGCAGTAGTGCTAAGAAAACCTCGATTACTTTTTTGCAGTCAGTTACACGTGCATTAGCTATTCTAATAAGTTGTACAACTCCGCTATCAAGCCGCTCGTGAAAGTTGGTGGCGAAAACTCGCCTGGGTCGTTACCGGCCTACTAAAAGGGGAAGCCCACGGCGCTGCGACATGCTCAGCCATTCAAACGTCCAAGATTTTGTGCGCGACAAGACTAATGTATTCACGGGGAGTGACCCGTATTCCCTCTAGTAGAGTATTTGCGCTCGCCTTTGATTCATGATAACCAAGTCGCGACACAAGTACACAATAGCCAAGTACCCCCTCACTCTGAAAACCCTCGCAGCCAGTGAGCGCCGACGATGGCCCATGAAATCAATAATGCTTGTGTGTGATCAACACCCGCAACCTTTCGATCACGATTCAAGTAAACTGTCGCTGCACTTCTCTGGCATTTTCCGTTTGGCAGTTTCGTTTTTGTTTTGATCAAGTTTAGTGACTGGCGCATTTTCACCGTATGAGTCAAGCAGATATACCTAGGTATTTACTGCTTAAAATGTTCTCTACTCTTAATGTCGTTATGCATTGAATGGATGACCTCAAGTACCCACCTGCGTAAACGTTTGCACAACACCAAGGCGAAAATGCAGAAAGAGTTCTTTTTATTCACTTACCAAACGACCGAGGTCATATAGTCTTGAAATAAGAAACGATTTAATTTATAATATGGAAATCAAAGTATTCCTATTATGTAGCACTTGATTCTGATATTGATGTTTCTGGCAGATGAATGCCATGCCAGTATACTGTGACGAAGAAGACGACGACGCTGGGGCAGTGGGTGCCTGACCATCACGTGCCAAGCTCAGCGCGCACGGCCCGGCTTCCATAAAAATCCTTCTATCTCATTGAGTGGACGCATCATTGTCATTTGCTGCCGGCCGCATATCTTCGTAACAATATACTTTGTTTTACTACTAAGTTTACTCTTAATAAGGTCACATCGTTTGGAAGGATTGAATTGCGTTCCTATTGCCTTGGCTTTTCATGCTGCTATGAAAAGCATTACGAAATGCACACGACTGAGTCATGAAGCACATCGAGCCTTTCGGAGTATAAATAAAATACCTTTATTTTAGGATTGTCTATATTACATATTGCATGTCAAAGGTTTAAAATAACCCCCCCCCCCCCCCCCCCCCTAAAGAAGAAAAGGTACACTATCGGAAGCTCAGTCTTCGTCCAAAAGTAGCGTTGGCCAGATGCCAAAGTTTCATAGCTTGCCGAGTTCAAGAGTTTAATGTTTGGGAAATTTTCAATGAAAAAATGGCGGCCGACGATGCCCACGAATATACCTGGAGATTAATGGCCTCGGCTATCACATGTTACTTGGACTCAACTCAACATCACATGTTCCCACTGAAACCTTCAGAAAGTAATTTATAATTTTTAACTAAGAAAACGGTTAGTTCTGAAAACTTGACACCTGGTCCGGACCGTTCGTTACATTTGTGCGGAGTTAGCGATAAATATTTTATTTTTGTTGTGACAAAAACAACATTATTATAATTTTCCGGGTATATGCTGTAGTTACAGAATTCCTTGTGAAGATGCTTATCAGCCAGCACGTTGCTTACAACCATCAGCCAGGCTAAGAGGCCGACCAGATCACGGCTCAACCGTCATAAACAAATGGAGCTCCCCATTGGAAACAAACCCTTCGCTCTCAAGCTTATCCGGAGAGGACAAATAAGGATCGCCGAAGCTCAAGTTCCTCACCCCTTTGGGCTTCTCGAAGTTCTTCAACCCCGAATATTTACTCGCGTCCACCTTTATGGAGATCACATTCGTCTTGTCCTCGGGGTGAATGACCCCTACAGTGTACACTTTGCCGAAGGGCCATTCCACCTCCCCGTCGTCCTGCCCGCCGTGAAGCGTCAGAAAACACCCGAATCGGAGATGGTCGTCGTCCTTCCCAATGTCCGCGCACAGGCTCACCCTGTACCCAAACATATCCCGGACGGGTCCGAAAGCGTCCGCGTAGCCCTTCTTGATGGCCCGTCTCTTCAGGTCCTCCCAGAACGCGAAATACCAGTGGGACGTCTTGGGTCCGCAAAGGCCGGCGAAACTCTGGGACAACTTGTTGGTCGCTTCGACCGCCCTGTCGCCCTGCGCGCTCATCTGTCTGGCCAGCTGGTCCCTGCAGTCGGCCATCGCCTCGTGGAGCGTCCTCCTGTCCTCGGCAAAGCCTGTGGTGCAGAGCGCGCTGAGCTCGTTGATCTGTCCGGCCAGACTCATGGCCTGGACTTCGAGATGGCGCTCGCACTTTGCGTCTACTGCGCGGACGTCTTCGCAACAGCGGTTAAGGCTCGTCTGCAGGGACATCAGGTCCTCCGAGATTTTCGCCACCGCTTCCTTCACTTCGGAGCACGCCATTTCGACGCTGTTCATGCCGTGGGTGACCTGGACAGCTGTCTTTGTAGCTGTAAGCTCGCAGCTACGATCTTTCGCGTGCTGCACGATGTTGCGTCGAAGCACGGAACGGTGACACCGGGGGCAAGAGACCACGTGGAACGTGCACTCCTTGAAATGGTCCGAGAGGCTGTCTATAGTACCCACAAAGTCGCAGCCGTTCAGTGTGTTCCAACAGGCAACCTGGAGTGAAGCAGAAAGAAAGAACCAGGTATAAGTAGTAGAAATGCTCCCTAAGCGGGCCACGAGTACTTGGACTGAGATAGCCAGGTAAACTTGCAGTTTTATTTAAAGGGGCCCAGCAATCTATCGCGGCATTCTGTTGTCAGGGGTCACGTATATATAGTGCACACCAAATTTATTCGGGACGTGAGAAGTGTTTATTTTTCTCGTGGGGACGCTGTCATGGCGGCAAGCCAAGCAACGGTTTGTGACGTAGCACTCAACAAGCAGTTCCAAAGCGTTACGTCAAAGAGCCGTTGTTTAGCTTCCTCCAGGGAAGTGCTGCCATAAGCAAACACACAGTTTGCGTGTTACGTGTAAGTTTGGTGAGCACTAATAAGGTGCGCGCTGCTCAAGGTTCGAAGCTCAGGTAGCAAAGATAATTGCAAAACTATAGCGCAAACGACTATACTTCGTTTCAGCTTCGGTCCGAGCGCGGCCGATGTTATAAGCCGAAGGGCCAGTCAAACACTGCAAAAAGCGCAGCGTCATGGCGTGCTCTCTGCGCTTGAAAAGACTAGCCGTCGGAGGAGCACGCACAGAGAGACGGCGAATACCGGCTGGTCCTATCAACTGCAGAGGGCACGCCATGACGTTGTGCCTCTTTCGCAGTTTGATTGGCCATTCGGCTCATAACATCGGCCGCGCTCGGACCGAAGCTGAAACGAAATATAGGAAAAGAAGGAACAATGGGACAACTTTTTCACATATTGTTCCTTCCTGTCCCAGTCTTTTGCGCTAGAATTTTGTGATGAATAACCAACTAGCCCTACAGTTAATTTTAATTCGGAAAAAAAATGAGCCTACACGATTTACCCACCGTAATACGTCGGTGCGGTATCATAAGAAACACACAGAAACGTCATTTGCTTACGGAAGCGCCACGAAAAAAAAAAAAAAGAAAGAGAAACAAAAAGAAAAACAAATAGCCGCCTGCCCCTTCCCCCCCTTCCCCCCCCCCCCCCCTTATTTATCTTTTGTAAAAGTCCCGGCTCTTCCTTCATTCGATGACCGGTTCTGTTGGTGTTTTCCTTCCATCGGGAGTAATCTGATATTAGCGAAGTAGCCTCGACAGAACCGCGACGCTGCGGCTAATGGGCCTTCGCCCTCATCCTTGGCTGCTACAACGTTCACCAGTAACGACAAAAACCTGAGCTTTCCTTTTTGCATCTGTAAATTGACGCTAGCAATAGTTCCTCGGTTGGCTCGCTCGGAACCAAATGGATGGGTCACGTCCTGTTAAGGACCGTCTGAAAGTAAACGCTCTCCGTGCATGAGTAGAGTGGCACATGCAGATCACATGCAACGTGCGTTCGCATGACCCAGGCTTGGCTATGTTTTCATTCAAGAACATCCGAGATGAGAATTCTATTCTCATCTATGTGTTAGCAGGCACATACAGCTGGTGGCAGGTGAAGAACCCAGTAGATTCTCGATGCCTCTGTTAAGACGCAGCCGAAGCCAGAAGGCTAGGAGCGCGTACTTGTAGGTGGAGCTCGTACTCGGCCCTTAAGCCTGCCACCAACCCACAGGGTCCGGACTCACCTTGCGCTTTGCGAGGAAGCCATCAGAAACCTCGAATCGGATCAGGTCCTCCTCACAGAAGGACTCGTCGTCGAGCGGACACCTGCTTCCCAGTTGAAGGCAGGTGGCCTGGCACTCGGTGCACATAGTGTGAGCGCACGAGAGTCGGACCGCTTTCCTGGCCACGACACCGCACAGGGCGCACGCCCTCTGCGCCACAACGGGCTCATGAAACAGCGTGGGCCTCCAGTCCAGGGCATCCGAAAAACCGGACACGCACCGTAAATTCGCGAGGTCACCTCCTGCCATACCCGTCTCTGGTCGATTCTGCGAGAGGAGAGGCGGCCGGATGTGGCAACGGCGAACTATGACGTCTGCAAATGTGGGGTCCCTCGATTTCCTCCTGACGACGTCATACAAGTCTCACGCTGTTGCTTGCCGGGATCCTGGCGGTGGCGCCGCAGAGGCAGACACTTGTTCTGCTGCATGTGGCCCTGCTGCAGTCGGGCAGTTCACGGAAGCTTCAAGGGCCAGCTTGGGACGCTGCGATGGCAGCGACCCCTCGCGTCCGCTCGCCCCTTTCCGCCATCATTTCTGCCACCAACCGCCAGGATCGCGACAACCGAACCTAGGCCCCATTATCTCCTGGGCTCACCTAATCTCTCTGCCAAAAGAGGACAGGACACCCGGGGGACACCTCAGTTAATGAGATTCCCTTCCATCGCATAATTTTAGGTTGTTTTAGGATAATCTACGATAGGGTTTGCATAGTGCATGAAGCGACGTAATGTTGTCCGGGTGTAAATGAGCGCAGTGGTCCCTGCCTGCAGGAAGGTTTCGCCAACAAAGTGTGAGAAGCGTAGGGGACGGCACAGAGGGGGGGGGGGGGGGGGAGAGGAGGAGGAGGAGGAGGAGGGAGGAGGGGAGGGGGAGGGAATTGCGTTCAACCCCCCAAACCTTTCGGAAACTAAACAATTGGGAGGACTTCCTTCCCAACTTCCCCGGTCCTCTCAAACACTCCCGATGGTGCCCATAAACTCTGCCCCTCGCAGGAGAGTTTCTCAAACCCTGATCTTCACTTTAAAGGAGAAAAGCTAAATAAAAAACCTGAGTATATTCCTAACGAGCGAATAAGTAAAGTATACTAGACCTGTTATTCGTGTGAAATGATATTTTTGCCGGTAAAATGCTCGTTAAACTTTAGCCAAGTAGGAGCATTCTGGAGTAAAATAACAGTCCAAGCGGCTGCAAACATCTCGTTAGTCTAGTGAATGAAAGGTGAAATCTTTCATCCACTAGACCGACAAGATGAAATCTAGACTGACAAGATGATATCAGTATAAGAGATTCCTTGTTCTGAGCCTTTTCCTGGGAGTGCAGAAATAATATAAGAGCGAGCTCGCTTTCAGTAATTCGTGAATCGTCGTAAAAATGTAAGCTCTGACGCATACAATAGGTGTATAGACTCCAAAACAAAAGGTATGCGTCTATCGTTGGACAAAATTAAACGGCAGCAAAAAATATATATAATAAAGAATAATGTTGGTACTTTGATTGCAGCTTTCATTAGCCGGGCTCCTTCACGTTGCTATGAGATGGGATGGATATATCCTTTTTATAACAACCCGGTAGAAAAGAATATGTGGAGAATACTGTATCATAAGAATAACTGACCATTTCAGTACTACAACAATCGTGGCTGTGATCTCTGTATCGGTATGAACGATGCACGAGCAACAGGAATAAAGACGACGACGACGGCAGTTGATCTAATCCCATCCAAGTGTACGGACTGCTTTATCTGTCGTTCTTAACAGAACGATACATGGTGTCAGAAGTGGGATGTTAATCACTGCACATCATGACTGATCTTCCGCCGCCAGAAACGCTGAGGTTGGGAGAGCATGCCGCTGAAAACTGGAGGAAGTTCAAGCAGAGAATAGAGCTCTTTCTGTTGGCCACGGAACCCATCAAGCCTCGGACTCAGCAGCAAAAGGCCGCTATCTTCTTGCATATCGCGGGACAGGAGGCTATTGATGTCTTCAATACATTTGGACTACCACCCGAGGAAGCCACAAATTACGACAGTCTGGTAAGAAGATTTGAAGAGTACTGCCTCCCGAGATGTAATGAAACCTTTGAGCGTTACATATTTCGGACGTGCCAACAAGAGGAAGAAGAGCCATTTGAACAGTTCTACCGTGACATACAGCTGAAGGCGAGGACTTGCGGATTCGGCGAACTAACGGAGTCAATGCTGCGTGACCAGATTGTTTACGGAACGTCAAGTAGAAAGCTGCGAGAGAAGCTCCTGCGAAAGAAGGATTTAACCTTGGAAATGGCAGTCGAATGTTGCAAGGCTGAAGAAATAGCCGATATGCACAGTAAAGCATGGAGTGCCGCAACACCCGTCAAGGAGAAGAGGGAAGCAACGCTGGAGGTGGAACACGTTGAGAGAAACAAGCACGGAAGTAAGGTCGGGGGAAGGCTCGGTGTTAAGAGGAAGTGTGGCTTTTGCAACTATGTTCACCATCCTCGACAGTGCCCAGCTTATGGGAAGACGTGCTCGAAGTGCGCAAAAAAGAACCATTTTGCAGCTTGCTGTAAGACCAAGCCGACTGGTATCCACGAGGTCGAAGAAGCCAGTGAGGGAGACAGCGAATTTGATGCCCTCGAAATTCTAACAGCCAGCAGCTCGCGGCCCGAAGGCAGCCGTGACTGGACAATCACCACGTTGATAGAAGGAAAAAAAGTGGAGCTCAAGGTAGACACCGGTGCTCAGGCTAACCTACTTCCGCGCACATTGTTTCTGAAGATTAGAGCCAAACAACAGCCTAAACCAACCGCTGCAATTCTACGCAGCTATGGCGGTGGACTCATCCAACATCTGGGAAAGGTCCGGTTGTCCGTGTCCATCGGAAAAAAGCAAGGACTTATGGATTTCTTCATTGTCAAGAAAGGACGGCAGGCCATTATGGGCCTGAAGGCGTGCGAGTACTTTGACCTCATCAACAGGGTCAACACTGTGGGGCACGAAGACCAACTGCGTCGGAAAGTAGAAAGCGAGTTTCCATCTCTCTTTCGTGGTCTAGGATGCGCAAAGAGACCATACAAAATGGTTCTCCGTGAAAACTCTACCCCGGTGGTACAACCAGCTCGTAGGGTACCGCACGCACTCAGAGCGCCTCTCAAGGCAGAGCTGGATCGAATGGAGGAAGCCGGTGTCATCGTGAAAGCGCAAGAACCTTCAGACTGGGTGAGTCCTTTAGTGATAGTACGCAAAAAGAACAATAAGTTGAGGATATGCATGGATCCCCGTCATATAAATGAAGCACTCAAGAGAGAGCATTTTCAACTTCCGCGAAGAGAGGAAATTGAAGCGGACTTGGCGCACGCCGCGTATTTCAGCAGGCTTGACGCCAACAGCGGTTTTCATCAAATACCGCTAGATGACGGCACTTCTCGAATATGCACCTTTAGTACGCCTTTTGGGCGATACCGATTTTTACGACTACCTTTTGGACTCGCTTCAGCTCCAGAAGTGTTTCAGCGTACCATGAGCTACCTTCTGGATGGCCTTCCAGGCGTCCGGGTGTATATTGACGATGTCTTGATTTGGGGTGCAACACGAGCTGAACATGACCAACGCTTGCAGGGGGTGCTCACCGCCATACAAGCTGAAGGACTAACCCTAAACTTCGAAAAGTGTGTCTTTGGGGTAAAAGAAATCACCTATCTAGGGGATAAGATTAGTGCTGCTGGCATTGAGCCAAATCCAGATCTTGTAAAGTGTGTGGCAGCACTCCCTACTCCGTCAAGTAAAAAAGAAGTTCAGAGGTTGCTAGGGGCTGTCAACTACTTTGGCAAATACTTGCCTCATCTGTCAACGCAGACCGAGTCCCTGCGTAAACTCATTAGGCAGGACACTGTTTTTGAATGGTTGGGGGTGCACGAAAGTGAGTGGCGGCAGTTACGAAAAATGCTGACTGAAGCGCCGGTGTTGACAATTTTTGATCCCGCTAGGCCTACCAAGGTTTCAACAGATGCTTCTGCCTTTGCTCTGGGTGCTGCATTGTTCCAGCATGATGGACAAGATTGGAAAGTGGTGGCATATTCTTCAAGAGTGCTTACAGACACAGAGCGTAGATATGCCCAGATTGAGAAGGAGGCATTAGGAATTGTATTTGGGTGCGAGAAATTTAACGAGTTTGTGCTAGGAAGGAAAATATTAGTTGAAACCGACCATCAACCTTTAATCGCTCTTGCAAAGAAAAACTTGGGTGAATTGCCACCAAGGTTGCAAAGACTATTTCTTCGTTTGCTGAAGTTTGAATTTGATTTGCAGTTTGTCCCGGGAAAGAAGCTGGTGATCGCGGACACACTTTCTCGTATCTCTTGCGAGTCACAACTCGAAGAAAGCTCCACTGACGTTGAGATACATGCAAATGCGGTGCTTTCAACACTGGTAGGCAGCCGGACTTTGGGCAGCCTAAAGACCGCCACATCAAATGATCCGGTCCTGCAAGAAGCGATCAACTGTTTGGAAGCGGGAAAACCAATCCTAGGTGAGTTAAAGGCCGTCATGACAGAGCTTTCCGTGGTCAACGGAGTCTTGTTGAAAGGAAGCAAAGTGGTAATTCCTACGGCAATGCGCAAAGAAATACTTAAAAGAATACATCACGGTCACCTAGGTCTCAACAAGTGCAGAGCAAGGGCAAGAAGCCTTGTTTATTGGCCAGGAATGAATGCGGACATCACTGAACTAATCAGGCAATGTGAGACTTGCCAAGTCTTCGCGTACAGACAGCAAAATGAACCTTTGCATACACGTGAGGTACCGGAAAATCCTTGGGGCCGAGTTGGGGCAGATTTGTTCGAACTGGCTCGAAGACATTACCTAGTTGTTTATGATGCGTACTCCAATTTTCCGGAAGTGGAGGAGCTACAGGACGTAACTGCTAATGGCGTGATAGCCAAACTTTCTGCGATTTTTTCGCGTCATGGAATACCGTTAGAGGTCTGCACTGACGGAGGCCCACAGTTTTCTGCGAAAGAATTTAAAGACTTTGCTGTGCGGTATGACTTTATCCATACAGTGTCAAGCCCTCGGTATCCCCGCTCCAACGGCCTAGCGGAGAAGGGCGTCCAGGTGGTCAAGCGGCTGCTCCAAAAGGCGCAGGCTACCAGGGAGGATTTCTGGCTGGCTCTTCTCAGCTACCGCACGGCTCCGCTGGAGGGCGGTCGCTCACCATCAGAGCTTCTTATGGGTCGCGGAATTCGAACACTTGTGCCAGACTTCTCCAGTGAACCAGCACCGCCTGTACAAAAACATGCACAGAACCTTCAAAAAGGACGACATCTAGGACGGTTGCAGCCAGGAGACACTGTGCGGATTCTAAATAACGGAAAATGGGTCACAAAAGCCAGGGTGCAATCATACGTAGCCCCAAGGTCATACAGCGTGATCACAGAGGATGGCAGGACGTTCCGCCGCAACAGGCTACATCTCTTGAAAACATGTGAAAAATACGTTCAAGGAACAAATGACGATGACCATGACGAAGACTCAGAAGTGGAAGATGAGGGACTATCGGAATCACCTCGACCAGACAATACAGATGAGCACGAAGCTCGGACGCCGCATGAGTACGTCCAGCAAAATCAAAGGCTCAATGGGCGCACCTCAGGCACGTCACGCAGAACAAGACGACCTCCACGTAGACTAAGCTATGATGAAACATTTCAGCAGATTGCGTAGTTTTTTTTTTCCTTTTCTTTTGTTTTCTGTTTCCTTCCGTTCTTCCTTCTTTAATGTTTTTGTTTGTTTCTTTGCATCCTCATTTAAAAAAAAAAAAAAAAAAGAGCTGGAGAAAAGAGGATGTATCGGTATGAACGATGGACGAGCAACAGGAATAAAGACGACGACGACGGCAGTTGATCTAATCCCATCCAAGTGTACGGACTGCTTTATCTGTCGTTCTTAACAGAACGATACAATCTCCAGCTTCCGTCAGCCCTCAGGCGGCCGCGCTACAGTGGCTTGCCGCGCTCTGCCGCAGAGCGCCCCTAAACGGCGTATTTGCACATCGCGACGCTCGCACGTCCGCCGGACGACACACCACCCTTTTGTATACACACACTAACCGAGTTCTCTTCGGTGACCTGCCTTCTAGCATGAATATTTAACGGGTTATTGTGTACACTGTACACGGTTATTGCGGGATTCAGAGGTCGGGCTTCATTATGCCTGTGGGTCAGTCAGCATTATGAGGAGGCGAGTAAACACGTACCGGTGAAGGCTAATGATCCGTGAGCCCTGGCGAAACAGGGTCGGTAGAGTTGGTAGAGTTGCCAACCGCCGCGGCGGAAACCGGGTCCGCTCGTGGCGACCCTTGGAACGTCCGAGGGCTCTCCCGCTGCTTCACTGGTCAGCACACACCCCACGATTCATATGATACCACCGACTACGCGGAACGCACCGAAGAAGCAACCGCGGTGCAATGGAGGAAAATGACTCGACTGGAGAAATCGCCTTGAAAAACGGGCCGTCTAGGGATTTCGCCGAACGCATAGGGAGTTTCGAGGCGCTCTGTCGGCTCCATCCCCAGGTCGGTTTGCGAGCATAGGGAGTTTCTGGTGCCTCCGTAGGGACAAACGTTCCCTCGCGCACGTTTTATGGCGGGAAGCTTCGAAGACCTCTTTGGCTTTGCTCATGATCGAGCTTCTAAAACGGCCTGGCGAATTTGATTGTCGGAGGAAGAAGCGATGCTTTTGGTGTTTGAAATGTGTACGTATTGATGAGGTAACATATATCTAATTATAAAATGCACCTACGTATAGCTCAATTTTCTTAGTAATGCTCCGCGAATAGCCGGACTTTCTTTTCACTGCGGTTCTTTCTGCGAAAACGAGTATTTGTACCTAATGAATAAACGTGACTTCATGTTTTGCAAATGTTTGTGCTTGTCTTAGTTAAATAGAATGTTTAATGCGCACCATTGGAGAATAGTAAGTAGACTGCAAGTCCACGTAACTTGCACACACACACACACACACACACACACACACACACACACACACACACACACACACACACACACACACACACACAAAAGAAAAATGAAAGAAAAGAAAAAAGTTTAGTGACATATGTTCGAAAACCAGATGATGAAAACGATATTCCTTTTGCTCATCGTTTAAAGAAAAAGCTGAGATATTTTTATGTTTATAACGCGATCGTACAATGCTCCACAGTTTACATAATTTGCGAAACTCTTCTTCAGTAGCGCGTGGTGCGCAACAATAATACGTATTATTCTACAGAATCTCCAATAACTCCTTCCCTCGAACTGTACATCTGAATGTTCCTGTACTTATACGTCCAAACTCCATGAGTAATCGCTTTATCACCAGAAGTTGGAAGAAAAGTTCCGCAGCATGTTGAGTTTAATCACTTGCCCGCATAGTCACTCTCAGACGCAGTAACATATTAGTTCTGGAACTTGCTCACAAACCAAAAAATAAAAACGGCGAAAACAATTTTTTTTTTTTTAATGAGCGCGCACGATTTATTAAGAATGATTTGTGAGCAAAAAACTGCCACATGGAAGATTAAACGTTGACTGGCAGTAAAGAGAACAAAACAAATTCGGGGCGAGGGACGTACCGAGTTTGTTTTATTATTTCTTTTGCCAGTCAATGTTACTAACACGCTCTTCAGTTAATGTGAAGATTAAACATTTCTCCCCTTTCTTCACTTGCTGTTTCGCTCAAAAAATATAATTTTCTTTATTGAATAACTTGTGAAGCTAGGCGTTGCCTTAAAAGTACAACTGAAGTTTTTATGTTTTGTAACGATAAGTATAGAGTGCACCTGCTGCGGTGCCCAGCGGGAAGTAAGCAGCTCTACTCGGCAACCTGTTTTTGAGAATAAAGATTAACTCGGTTTAAGTTTGTCCATGTATGTCAGTCTCCCAACTTCTGCAGAAACATATACATCTGCCGGTGAAGCTTGCCGATCCGTGAGCTGACAGCGTGATGATTAGAGTCCTCGTAGAAGAACAACAGTAGTTAGCTCTCCCTCCCTCTTATGTGTACAGTACGTGTTTTGTGTATAACTTTTCTGTTGTCCGCAGTAATGCGGAACCGCAGGCCTAATGTGTGGGCCGACGACCTTTCTTTGATATCGCAGCCCCTCAGGGTTGAGTAAAAAGTATTATTATTATTATTAATGGTTTGGTTATTAAGCAGGGTATACCCAAATACCGCTGCACCTTTTGATCCGTCTGAAGACGGTAATTAGCGAACACCCCACGGCGCATCGCGACACAACAAACAGAATGACTACGGAACCCCTGGAACAGCCGCAACGGCAACCACAGCCCGGTAATCGAGCATGAAAGCCTATCCAATGAATATGTGACCAGCTCCATCAGCCGTGGGGATTTCCTGGGACTTCTAGGGACCTTTCTGCTTTTCAGTTGTCGTCATGTTCCTTTTCAGGAGGAGCTTCGTAGCTCCTGGGGACCAACCTTCCCCGCTGTTTTCTTGCGCAACGGGGATTCCGGTAAATAAAGGCGTTGTTTCAAAAATAGGCAACCGTGCCAAAAGCTGACACGCGCTTTTGTCTTTTCAAAACAAGCTGTACAACACAGTAGTATTTTGAGTTTTTACTCTCCATCCCAACTTCTCATTTCTTTGATTTGCTTTGCCTTCCTCTGAGGAGTCTTTGTCCTTCGTATGGTTTAGAGCGCAAAGGGAGGTGAGCTGGCAACGCCGACGAACGATAGCAGTTTGCTTTCTGTGCATTAAGGATTCAGAATTACAGAGTGCGAAGACAAAGCATATCAGACGCGAGTGTTTAGACAACGCGAGGTGCCTCTGTGAAATGGCGGCTAAGCTACAGGGTGAGCGCGGTTCGTTTTTCTTTTCGAAGAAAGCTGGAACTGAACTCCAGGGCGCAAGATTTGCAGGCAGCGTCGTTTCTCAAACAAGATCTTGAAAAAATAATGTACGCTGACGTTATTAATTACGTTTAAATAATTTTGAGTCCGTCCGAAAAATATAGCTCCAACCAAAACTCGAAAGGAAACCGGACGTCTAGAAACCAACTCCGTTTCCTCATCAAGGTTGACTGAAAGTACTCGAAGCAGCAGCAGTTCCTAACCTCTTCGTCTTCAAAAAAAGAAAAAAAAAACGAAGAAAAATTGTAAAAGAGGAAAACAAATCATGAGCCATTCCGCTTTGTCAAGGGGGATGACCAGCGAAGCTGTTTAGCACACAACACAGACCCACCCTGAAAAGCCGGAGGAAACTAGACACGCGCGACGGGACAGCCACCCCGGGAGAGCGGAAGGAAACTAGGCACGCAAGCGCTTGGAACGACGACAAAGAGAGGGCGGTGCGAGCGTAGACATGGCCGACGCGGGTCGGACAGCTCAAATCTTTGAGAAACCTTTATTATCTACCTGTGAGTCTACTGATCTTGAAACGGTGCTGATTGATAACTATTCGACTGAATACATATACCTGTTGCTAAATTACCCAAGCATCAAGGAGGATGCAGGGAATGGTGTTGCCACTGATCTCTATTGTAGTAGGCTGAATCGTGGTTCGGGAGCCCGTCGGTGTCGCCACCGGCGGCCATTGCTTGACACCAGGCAATACACGCAAGTCTATGGGAGAAACGCACAAAAGTAAGAATATACGCAAGTCTATGAGAGAAACGCACAAAAGTAAGAATATATTCTTACTTTTGTGCGTTTCTCCCATAGACTTGCGTGTATTACCTGGTGTCAAGCAATGGCCGCCGGTACAGCATGTATACGCTGTGCTCGGAGGCGAGTATTTTATAGTGTGCTGCGATCCTAATGTCGGGTGTTTGGAGTTCGAATCGGTATTTGTCAAACGTTCGAACTCCGATTAAAGAAATCAAACGTACCGGAGCACTTACGGCTGAGCTGGCAAGCTTGCTCTCGTAGTGGAGTAAACAAAGAAACTTGCCGGTCAATGAGACCGTCCTCGAGGAAGCCCAGAAGTTGACGAATGACCAAGAAGTTCCATCTCGACAGCGGGTTTCTGGGAGTGAGCGAATTCCGCGTAGCAAAGCCTTCGAGCTTGTCGTCTGCTAAACCCAACTCAACTTAACCGCCACCGACTCCGCGGTAACCCTAGGTAACTCTCGCCTCATTGAGCTGCACTACAGCGGAGTCACTCTCGACCACAAAATATTTATTTATAAGAACTGCGAGAAGCTGTCAGTTTTAATGTTTGTACGCAAGCTGTTTGACGGGCCTATTGAAAAACATCCAAACAGTTTCAGTGCCGACAACGACTTGGAAGCGGGGGAAACGGCACTTTTTCTCGTTCCTCCCATAGAATCCCATAGAGTCCCATGCATTGGCTGGTGTCAATCAATGGCCGCCGGTGGCGACACTCGGCCCTCGGTGACACTCGGTGACACTCGGTGTTGCATGTGCCGGCGTCTGCAGCAGTACCTGTGTTAAAGCAAAAGCCTAAAACAAATGGCATCTTGTATGCGCGTTCGTCAACGCCTTATTCTTGTTATTTGCTTGGAATCTTTTATAAACGAAAGGCGTGCGCGCACGGCGCGTGTGGCGCGCGCGGCGGTGCGAGCGTAAAGTTTTTGGACACGGACACGAACAATCCATGGAACCCTCGCCATAAACAGCTTCGCTGTAATAAAGAGATAAAATATACATAGGAGATGCTGCTGTTCCGTGGGCTTTTAGTCACTCTGAAGACGAAACCGAGTTTCGGAACGCCGGGTTTCCTTTCGAGTTTCGGTTGGAACTATATTTTTCAGACTTTGATACTCAACCAACCAGGAAGATCTCTGCCGAATATGTTTGCTTTCAAGTCATTTTGAACCTGTGCACTTTTTTGGCAAAGAAATACAACCTGCGGTTATTATACAGCGCACGCGCACTCCTCAGCCGGCATCCAAGAATATAGAAAAGCAGCGAGTCTTTGGGGAATGCCACAAGGACTATTAGGTAAAGAGGAGTTGCGCGTCTTCGGGAAGCGAGGCCATTTGTTTATAAATCGATAAAGATAATCTCGGAGAACGTTGCGAGGACATTTTGATAGGGGGATTCATGTAGCTTGCGGGAAAGAAAGAGAGCAGGAAACGAGAGGGACCCGGGATTGGAAGGACACCCTTCGTCTCCCTCCAGTGGCAGCGAGCAAGAGCGTCGCGTGGCGATCGAACGGCAGACCCTGCATGTGCGAGACGACGCTCTTGTTGGCTCTCGCCGGAGGGAGACGAGATTGGAAGCGTCGGCGCGCTGACGGTCCTTCTCCGACAATGGGAATTGCCGAGGGCAGAGCAGTGAGGGCGGGACCGCGCCGTCTGCGTGCAGGTACGAGCGACCCGTACGTCAAGTTCAAGCACGGCGGCCGGCAGGTGTACCGCAGCCGCACGGTGTCCCGCTCCCTGGACCCGTACTGGGACGAGTGTTTCTTCCTGCCCGTCCGGGACCTGTGGGACCCGCTGCTGGTCCGGGTCTTCGACTACGACTTCGGACTCCAGGACGACTTCATGGGCGCAGCGCTCGTCGAACTACACACTCTGGAACTGGACAGGTGCCTTCATTCGTTCCGCGTCGTCGCAAGAAGGTCGGCGTCACAACTCTCTATAGTATAGTGCGGAAAACGTGGTTTCGTTTCTCTCCGACCACCAAAAAAAGAGGCGGCATTCGCGAGAGGCGACCGTTTGATGCTGCCATTCTGGCAGGAATTCTCAATGAGAATGCCAGAAGAGAGCTTTGCTTGCCCCCCCCCCCCCTCCTCCTTGCTCCCCTCCTCCCTCCCCCCCCCCTTCCTTCACCCCCCCCCCCCCCCCCCCCCCTTCACCCCCGGCGTGAGACCTTCGATAACCCTTCGTCGTCCCGAGAGCCTCGAGCGCGCATCCAAAGCACGGCCATATCCTCCTCTACACTGACAAAGCCTGGCAGATCGCCACGAGAAGGGGCCGACGAAATAGAAAAAATGGAGCGGCAGACAACGGATGAGAGGAGAGCCACGTGACTGGCGCCCCGCTGCGGCGAGACGCCCAAACCCACTTCTCCCGAGCGTACAAGTATGTTTCGGGTCCTCACCGCTGCAAAAGCTGTGCGCTGACGTCCAGGTTCCCCGCGAAATGGCTCTTTGATGCTCTGTGCTACCAGATCCTCGCGATCCCAATCTGCAACCGGGCACTCTATGGCTCCGTCGTCGAACTACCAGGCTTTGCGAGTATAGAGGAGACTATGGCACGGGCGAAAGACAACGAGCACATGGGCGAGTCGGGCGTTCGGAAGGGAAGCGCTGCCTTTCTCACCTTGTCAGTGACGCGCCCGTCCCTTTATGCACGCCTGTCAGCGTCTCTTCACTCGCGCTAACAGAACGTCTGAAAGAACTCCGAAGTATTTGAAATATAATCGATGACGATTTCCAAGATTATTTTTTTCAAAGAAACCTTAGAGATGCAAAATGTGCTCACCTTTTTTTCTTCTCCATTTTTCTTTTCTGTTACGAGCTTTTCGTCTGTCCACCTGTCATGATTATGTCCGTCGTCTCAAGCAATGTCCAGAGGCGTTTATTTGGCGGTCGTCTGAGCTATGTCCCTGCTCCGGGGTCAGGCCGACGGACGTGCTGCTCAACTTGACGGAGTCCGGCAAGCCCGAAGACGTGAACGCCAAGGACTTGGGCTACATCGTGCTCACCGTCACCCTGTTACCGGCCACGGCCAAGGACGACGTCGAACAACAGGTGAGTACTTGGACCGGCCTGTTTACACTAACCCCCGGCTGCCTCGTGGACTGCCGAGCTGGAGCAGAACCGGAAGTTCACTGACTCCGCTGCATGCTGTGCCACCGGCAGGCGCAACCTCCGCACAAGGACGGTAGTGGAGCTCAGATCGGACGCCAGTTTTGCGGCGGTGTTCGGCGGCCACTAGGGTTACGGTCAGGGAGCGAGCGCACGAGTTCTCACGGGAGATTGCACGACACTTCCGCCCCCTTGCTGGTTACAATCGTTGTTTGCCAGTTCGCTTTATTTAAAATGGCAGGAAACGCCTTTTTCGGCCCTTCAGAAACGTTCGTCCCTAATACGGCAACGCTATGTCGCTCGAGCTTCTAAGGCCGATCGGGGAAGTCTCAAATCGTACCAGTCGCCAATGCCCTGAACTAAGCACCAGAATGGCTGCGCCCACACTCGGGAAATATCTAGAAGCGTAGCTTTTCGAGCGCGTGGCTCTAGTGTCAGCCATGCAATACATTCTGTCTTCCCCCTTTCTGTGCACTTGAGCGCGGAGATCAAGTATACCCGTGCGTTTTTGGCCGAATGAGATAAGCATGTTTCGATGTTCGATCGCAGTGAACGATCGGTATCACACTAATCCCGCAAACATTTGAGTCCTGTTAAGGGTTGTCCAAACTAGACATAGCAGATGCGGTGCACGCCAAGTGCTGTAACTGAACTGGAGCCTTTCCTTCGGTACAAGCTGGCTTTAAAACTTTTTTTTTTTTTTTTTTTTTTTGCTTTTGTCTTACGGTCAGAGACTTCGAGCGTGCTCATCACGTAAGTCCGGACAGACGCTCGCACGCTCTGCTGGCTTGCTCCGCTCGTGTTGTCGGTCCCTCCCAAAAACAAGGAAAGAGACGACAGCATGGAGACAAGCCGTGATGTTTGCCTGATTGATGTCTTTAATGAAAACGTACGCGCCCGATAAAACTTCCACATTTTTCAAAACGCTTGCGCGTTTTAAATGCGGAAGCATTAACTGTCTCATTGGTCGAAGCCGGTGAAAACGGCAACTAAGTTCCCATTGGCTGGGCGTTGTCTGTAGCAGCGAAACGGCACCTAAATTCCCACTGGCTGCGTAAAATCTGTCAGGGAGGTTCCTGTAAACGAAGTAAATGAATGCCCTTGAAAAGAAAATTATGTACATTTTGGTCTGGGCGGGATTCGAACCAGTGTTGTATGGAACAGCGTTCCTGGAACGCGTTCCATTTAGGAGGAACGAAGGAACGCCGCCGTTCCATATTTTATCGGTGGAACTGAAACGGGAACTCGTTATTCTTTTACTGGAAGGAAAAAGGAACGGCGTTTCTTTTTTTCGTCCAGAGTGGTAATTTTTATTTTATTTCTAAGGGGGAAATGGACCTTTTCCGAAAAGCGTTCTGCGCACGCGCGAGCGCCCGATGCCAAGCGGTGGAAGTCGGCACGAAAAATCGAGGAAATTCGGAATGAGGCTGTAGATCAACGAGTAGAACACGTAATTGCAGCATATATATAATTGTGTTACACAGAAAAAGAAAGTGGACGGAAAGAAAAACACGACGTTTGGGTGGACGCTACGGATTTCCCTCTTTAAAGTCGCGTTGTGCACTCGACGCAGCTCAGAGAGCGAAGCAACTGGTAGCGTAGCTCCCAGTATCGATTGGTAGCGCAGGTAGGTCACTTCCTCGATTTTTAGTTCGTGCAGCCACCGCCTGGTGCCGTCGGTATTTGGAAAAGGTCCATTTTAGAAGTATAAAAACAATATGTTTACAAAGAGCAGGATCTCGTTAACGTTTTGTACTTAGAGTTTATTTTGTGTGGCCCTCGCTTGGTAACAGTCGGGTGCATGACAGCTACACTCTAAGAAAAAATGGAGGAAAAAAGTAGCAACGGCGCGTCTTCCTCCCTTCTACTGACGCGCCCCCAACCGGACACGAGAAAAGGGGAGGAACGAAACGTTTTTCTCCTTCTCCAGGCAGACGGGAGAAAGCTTTCGCCCTCCCGACTTATCTTCTTTCGGTTTCGTTTTTGGAGCAGGTCGCGCACATTGTTTAATAAATAGTTGTTGAGTTCATTGAGCTTCAGCGGCAGTGAAGGCCGCCTGTAATTCCGTCTTCTAGTCTAAACGTACAGAACATTTCGGTTGCAATGACGCTTTTATCACTAATTTTATCAAACGAGCAAACGAAGCCGCTAGAAACAGCGAAGTTGCGGAGCAGTGCCAGCAGTGCCACGTACACTGGGGGATGGCCTCCGGATTGCGGGACTATGCGGGACTCGCGCGCGCGGCGAACCTGGCGAACCGACGGAATTACAGTCGCTACAGTAGCGAAACCACGCGGAACTGTGTCGACGTTTTCGACGTTATGGAAACCGCAGGAACTGCGTCCAAGACAGGCAGGTTTTGCTGCCGGCTGCCTGGGTGCCTTCCGCGCTGAGTTCGGTTCTGTTTTCCGATGCCGAGTGTAACCGGCGTTCAACGTGGTTCTGTATTTGTGCGTGTCAGCAACATAGCTGCAACATCGTGATGGCAGTGTTGTGGGTTGTGAACCGAAGACTGGAATTATCGCCGATGTGACCGTGTGTTCGCGTATCAGTGGTGTAACAACAAGATGAGATGACGGAAACTGTCGGGCATTGATACCGTTGGTCGGGCCGTGATGAGGGGCGGGGTGTCGCAGGTTGACATTCCGCTTTACATTAAAAAGTTTAATACCACTTGAGGGATTACGTGCAATCGATCAACGTGCGGATAGTCATGTTGGAACGCTGGTCTGAACAGTAGAAGCTCCTATCGCTATCGTACAATGGCCAATATGACTGTCGGAATCGTCTCGTCCCCGAGAGCGATTGCGCTCTGGGGCAAGGACTGAACAGTTCGAAATCGTGACTGAAAGTACGTATATTTACAGTATGGAATTTCGGCATTAAAAAACAATAGAAGGTAAAATCGAAAAAAAAAGCTGCCTTTTATTTTGCTGTTTAAATATACTACGGTTCCTGGAGAAACTGTCTTCCAAGTGGCGCGCTGGGATGAGCGCTAGACGTTTTTGGGCTCGCCACGGCGTAGCTCCGTACGCTGAACACCTGCCGCAAGTCGCGGCATTGACTGCATTCAAGTTGATCGAAAAGCGATTTCTCAGCATGTGAAGCATCACTTCCAGCTGAGTGAATATCCGCTCTACAGAGATTAATTCAAGACGGTAATTGCAGCTTTGCCCGAACAGCACAAATAGAAAAACCAATAGAAATACAGGCTACGACGTGCCGTGTGGGGAAACAAACTCATGGCTTCGAACCGCATTAAGGCGGCTTGATTTATTGGCTTTCAAATAATTACGGCGTGATCGAGCGTTTACTTTTAATAAGAGATTCATCCCCTGAGCCATTCAAAATACTCTCAGAGGTATGACATTGCTGGGAAAAAATCAACATGCTGGGAATATTTTTTATTGCTTAGGGGGTCACCGAAAAGTTCCGTACGTTCAAAACGACCAGTATAAAAGACGGAAACGCAGAGCACGGGCGTAGTGTTCGGGTTAGTGTGGTGTTCCGTTGTATTGATATTTGTGAGTGTGCTGTGTATGTGCTCAATGCATGTTCACCTAATGCTTGTAATAAGTGTAATGTGTGTGTATAGTAGAGGATCCCCAAGCGCAGGAGAGCGGCTCTGAAGCGCAGTAGTGGCCTGAAGAGAATAAATTATCTTTTGTAGAACATGAATTGGGCGGTACCTAGCGCCACCTAGCCTAGCTGCTTGCAATCACTCTGCTTGACCCCGCCATCTGGTGGCTAGCGATTTAACCTTTCACGCTACGCGATAAACAGCGGCTTCGAGTTTGTTCTTTCGAGAGCGGCTTTTGGTTTCGAGGATTGAGTTTGCCCTTCTCTGTGATGTGCGGTTGACGAAGGAATTGTGACTCGAGGAACACCAAAGGTAAGACTCAAAGTGCACGAAGTAACTGGGTATCGGTTGTCTCCGTTTAACATCGCAGTGCTGTCGACGAGAAGACTGAGTAACTGCTTTCGAAACGCAAGTTTCTGTACCTGTGGGGGGAATCTGGCTTCGGAAATAAACACAGTCTGCGGAAAGCTCGTGTGACGCTTTTATTTGCTGCTGCTCTCGTCCCGTACAAGAGACGTGGCGTCCTGGTTAAGCCTTATTGGGCTCGATTTGCTCGATTCGGGGCCGCCATATTGAGATGCAAGCGATGGAGGAAGGTTGCTCCCCTGCTTCAGGGACGAACGTTTCTCCCTTTCTAAAGGAACATAGGTTACAAGACCGTTCCTCCCCTAAGGGAGGACTATCCATACCCTTTTTTCTAAGAGTGTAGTGCCCGAGAATGCGGTACAGAAAGTAAGACTTTTAGTCGAATGAAAAGACACAGAAAGAGGAAAGTTTCAAACTCGGCTACTTTCTTTGCTTCCACGAATCCTCTTACAGCCACAAACCTTGGGCCGACTACAGCCATCACTAAAATTCCACAAAGTAACCTACAGTTACAACAAAATAACAGGTTACCAGACATCGAACGCACCTTTGTATCCCGAACATTGGTGGTCACTTAAAAGATACACGAAAATTAACCTTTAGTCCTTTTCCCCTTGTCCCCCGCCTTCAAACTGAACAACGAATCCAACCATCACGAAGAAGGACGTGTAGTTTTCAAGACTGACCTTCCAAAAGCCCTAACCTCGCCTTCACTTGCTCGTCTTGCTGACTGCAACATCGAGAAACAACTTTTGTTAAGTTCGAACAGGGGACTTTGTTAGCTTGAGACGTGTGAGGTTGCTGTAAAACGCTCGTGCAATGTGGGGCAACCGTACATTTGGCTCGTCTGAATCGCCCACCAGAAGCGTGAATTTGGTTAAAAGCTGAGATTTTTTAAACTCGAAGACATCAACGAATGAAACCCTGCTTCCGCTTGTTTTCTTCTCCTGGTGCCCTTCCATCACGGCATTCAAATTAGTATGTTCCCATTTAATAA